CTTAACTCGGCTTGAGGGAAAAAATCTCAGTGCAAACAACTGAAGGCTTGATTATTTTAATAGAGCAGTTTATTTCTTTGGTTCTTAAGTGGCACTTGTAGAAAGTCTTGAGATAAAATTACTCTGTTTTGGCCATCATAAATAATAAAAAATAATCTGAAAGGACTAGGTCCTTTAAGATCTTTAAATAGCAAATTACTGTTCCAGTCACTTGGAGCTAGAGCTCATGTCCAAAGTGGACACATGTGAATACCGGGCCCTCTCTTGCGAAGTGAAACATTTGTGAGAGAGAAGTGAATCCCCCACTTTAGGAGGGAAGTATCAAGAGCCACTGCATGTAACCCTCTGGTAGTTCTTCATTGGTAGAGATACATAATTACATTATTCTTGGGATGTTTTTAAAGTTCACTGATTTATCTGATAGATGGAAAACGTAGGAGAATTACTTTGCTATTCGTTTATATCGGTGATGAAATAATGGCTTTCAAGTTTGTTATTTGTGTTGGCAGCAAGGAACATGAATTGTTGGGATGTGAGTGTCTGTATTGAGGATAGCAACGCACTCCTGGTTGTCAGGCAACACTTTCCCCCTCCTCCTCCCCCCGCTCCTGCCCTAGTGTCACTTGTGATGTAATTCCATTCTGATGCAGTGGAACCCTCTGTGCTCCTGATTTGTAATTAGATGTGACATCACTACACAAAGGTTGCTCCAAAAATTGGTATAGGCATTAAAGCTATTTTGGTAGGAATGTTTTCTACTTTTTGGCAGTATAAAATAGTCAGTTACCACAAAACTTTGTTCTTTTGTGACCCCCGAGAATTTAAATATCAAAAGGCATATTTCTTAAAAAAATATATATGGGCTTTGCATTGATATAAATGAAACAGCAGCTGGGAGTCCTGGGTGCAGCTGCACAATGTAACTATTTACAGCACATTTGCACTAGGAGTTGCACCTGCAGGATTGTTCAGATTCTTCCCTGGTTTCATCACCACATATTAACTAGAAACTTCTTTTAATTTTTTTTTAATGTTTCAGAGGTGACACAAAACCCACAAGTGAGAGCTAAGCAATGACCAGTAGCGTTTTTTTTTTGGTCTAAATAGTTTCTGACTCAGGGAAGTGCAGTAGGAATTAGGTTTTTTTTGGTTTTTTGGTTTTTTTTTTTTTCAGTGGATTTCTGAAATCTGTATTTGTCATATTCTGCATACATAAATGTAAATTTTTTTTTTTTAATTTTCAAAGGAACATGACTTCACTATATTGCTGAGAAAAAAAGATTCTTTTAGACAATTTTTAGCTAGGACTGGCAAACTTAACTATCCTGCCATTGCAGGGAGGATAACAATAAAATAGAAATTTTTGTATCCAGTCAAGTAAATGGCATGATGTTGATTGATTATCCATGAGAAAGTCTTACTATGTTCAGCATCCCTATTTACTGTGTATGGATAAGGTACTAATTTCAATTGTGTTGGTCTGGCAGCTCCCTGCTCTGTAAAATGGTTGGATTCAGGTATTTGTCTGATTGTTATTTGCTGGTTGCAAGACAGTGTTCTGATGGATAAAAATGTTTTGTAGAAAATGAATTTTTTTTAAGGTAACTTGTTTTTTAGGTACTAGAGAAGGGAACTATTTGCTCTGGTGTGTCAAGGGAGCATTTAAAGAAGAAGTTTCTGGTCTCTGCCTGTGCTCATAATGCTCAATGTAAGAAAACTAACCCAAACTGGGCATTCAGTTGTTCTAGTGCTTCTCTCTTGTGCAATTTTAGTTTCAAGTTAACACAGAAATTATTACCAATACTGTGCGATCTGTTGACTTCACAGGAGCTTGCTGTTAACTGGAGCAAAGGCAGGGTTTCACCCTGTAACTATTAATGCTGTAAGGGACTATACTTGGCAATGACCTAAGGTCTTTCTAGAGCTACTGACTTCATGTTTCCAGCTTCCCATGGGCTCATGCACTGCTTTTTCAAATGCACAGGAAGCACCTCGTGTTCCTGTCCGGGTTCTGTATATCAGCATTTAAAAGGCAACTAGTAAATACCAGGCATCGCAGAATGACACCATGCTTTGCTTTGGCACGGGTGACAGAATGTGAGACCTGCTAGGGTGACCTTTTGCTTAGTTTGGGATATGGAGCACTACCCTGAGCTGCTCATGCATCAGTCGCCCTGGCTTGTTGGTATGTTATGGGCTTTCTTGTTTTAGGAAGCCTTTGCCTCAAGAGCAAATACACTCGCTGCAGGGTAGGTACTGAGATAGACTGTTTTTTTAGGGATGCTGTGGTTTTCTTACCTATTTGTCTGTATGCAGTACAATTCTGCAAGACTTGATTTCATTGCACTGGCACTGACTTAGTCTGAAAACCCAACTGCCAACTCCTAGCATTAAAAGGAAATTCTAATAGAAATCAAGATGTATGCTATATATGCTGACAAGTGGTTTGATACATAATTTTCCAGAAAAATCAGTATCCGAGTCTTTTAATTAATCTGGTCTCATCTTTTTCTAGGTATTAGACTGGCTGGTCTCCTCTAATTCCCCAGGTCTGTCTTCTTCTGCCCTTTAGGAAAAAGCACCACCTAGTCCTGTGGAGTGTCCTTCATTATTTTATAGGGCCCTATACAAGGAAACTCAAAAAATCCTCTAGTTTGTGCCTTAAAGAGTATAGTTGGGATTTCAACAGACTTGGCAGAATTGAGTATGTTGGGTTTACCTGGAGATGTAGTTAAATATTTATTTCTCTACTTTTTGACTAAAACATTAGGACTACAATCTTCTCCTGAAGTGCCAATGACTTGCTATTCTCATTAAAATGACCTGTATTTTCCCCTTTTTATTCACTTTGCAATTAACAGGGGAAATCTATTTCACCCCTTAACCCCTCATGCCCTTACCTATACACAATTTCTTTATATCAGTGAGACTATACTAACCAGTTGGTGTTACTAGGCTAGTTTTTTATGGAAAAAGACTATTAAAGCACACTACTTCCTGTTTCTGACAATTCTCACAGGTGTCTGGCACAAAGCAGTATTTCATTGATGTCCTGAATTCCACGCTGGGTCACCCAGCAAACAAAAAAGACAAACCACATGATGTGTGGTTGCATATGCCAGCATTTGGTTATTGGGCTGTCAGAAGAGATGCATGTAGTGGGTTTAAGCTAATTTAGCAAAGGAAGGGAACAGTCACTTCAGTCATATATCAGGCCTTGTCCTGACTGATGGCACTCCCAGCATGGACAATGCTTATACTGGCACAGGAGTTTCAACTGGAGTTTCAGCAGCAGCCCCTGGTCTTAACCTCCCTGTAGACAGATACCACTTTTGCCTACATATTTATTATTTATTTAGAGATGTTGGTGGTTTTGCATTTTCCAGCCCAGCAATTGTAAATACCAAACTGAGCATAAATGGGACTTGAAATGGATTATTCTTGTTCAAACGCAGGTTGCTGTTGTACTGGATTCTTCAGTGGTAGAAGTACAGCATTTAGGAAGAGGCAGCCTGGCAGGAATGGCCAGTGTGATGTAGTGAAGTGAGACCAAAGAGCTACTCTGAGTCACCAGCAGTAACCAGGCAGTGAAAAAGAATTGAACAAAAAAAACAAACACAATCCCCCGCCCACACCCGTGTTTCTTGTTGCAAGTTTTTCTGACAATTCCTTGCCAGACAGAGATGTCCCAAGTGCAGAATGCTCCCCCAAAACCAGTGTTTTCCTTAATTCACATTCCAATGCTGTCACTTTGCGTGGAAGTTCTTGTTTTGTTTTGTTGAATGATTAGGATGTAGGAACCTTAGGCATATATAAAGGGTTTACCATTGTATATATGTTTTACCTTTGTGCTTCTGTGTGAAGGGGGTTCTGGCAAAAGAAAAATCATCTCAGATTGGCACACTCTCTGCAGAAAGGCCATAAGGTTGCTTTTGAATTTAGGTATTTTAGGGATGACCCAGGAGTGGACAATGCCAGCTGCCCATATATGTAAGCAGTGTATACTTGATGGCGGTGAGTGGGTGTGTGGAAGTACAAGGTGTAACTATTTGTACCATAAGCTTGAAGAGGTAAGCACTTTACAATACTTAAATGGTAAGTTATGTGTATTTGGAGAAATGATGGGGGAAACAGTTTTGTACTCCAAGCAAAATTTATTAGAAGTCTATTAAAGAAAAAAAAACCACAGAGACCTTTTGCTTGTAGGAATTCAAAGTCAGTCACCTGAAAACCAGGTATGAAAAACCTGCATTTTTCTAAAATCAGATACAGAGTAGAAACAGTACTTTTTAAATATCACAGGCAACAGATATTTAAGTCTTCAATCATAAATGGCATCAAAGATAGTATTAATCTCACAGCAAAGCTGCATGCAGACCTAGTTTAAAATTGAAAGCCTTTGAATATAAAGCTTTTGCCATGGAATCTGCAATAATAAAGGTATGCTGCACAAAGATGTTTCTTTACCTTTGCCTTAATGACCTTTCTCAGTAATAAAGATATATGTACATTTAGATTTGGCTGGTAAACCATATTTTAATTAATAAAATTTTGCATAAAATGCTATCTTACAGAATTGCACTATCCAGATGTGCTTACGGTAAACAGAGCAAGAAAAGAAAAACGCATTGAAATGTTCTGTATGTGAAGAGGGCAAATAAGAAACTTAATTTTTTAAAAATCAACAACCAAATGGCTCTGTACAAAAAAGCAAACTTATGTACAAAATGCTACAGAGACTACATACATTTTGATAATTTTGATCCTTTACCCATGAAAAATGCAGCAGAAGCTTTTGCCATCTATAAGGTGCCAAAGAAACCAAATCTGAATTTTTACTTTTATAAAGCCATAGTCATTATCACCCTGTGCCTTAATTTCATTTGCTATTTATGCTTACCTTTGCTTATGGAAAATGTATGTCTTCAAACACTTGCTTCATTCAGAAAAAAACCAAAAACAACACCTCTAAAATATATCAGTTTTAATACTTGTGACTTTTCTGTCTAAATTCCTAAAAAGAATGTGTAACTTGGGTTTCATTAACATACATACATACACATAGTGAAATAAATCAGTACATGATGCTTGTGAATATTTTGCAGGTGGCTATGTTAGGAAAGAAAAAAACCAAAACCCAACAACCCTTTGCACTAACACTGTTTACTTCCTGCTTCTTTAAATTCCTGATAAGTAAAAACACTAACCTCTTACACTTCATGTTGCTTACTATTACAACATTTTGATTACAACCACTTAATATCAGACATCAGTAGCAGGTTATATTATTGTAGCTTACAGCATTGTCTGTCTCTTCCTTAAATCCTCTTTCCCAAATCTTTATGCCTTTTGCACTTCTTACCTTCTAACAGAAAACACTACAAGGTTCACTACAGTTTTTCATTAGGGAAAAAAAGAAAAAAAAAATTAGCCAATACCATTGCACCCGTTCAGAACACTTGCAGTTCTTCCATCTTTTTACTTTGCTTGCATGAGATTTTACAATCACTGTGCATTTGTTACAGCATACAAGTGCAGGCAAAAAATCTATATTATAGTTTGTCATACATTGTAAACCAGTACAACAGGCAAACCCGTGACACAGCAATGTGGAAGCAACAAATGCTGCCAAGCTAATAAGAATGTGTAAAATCAATTTTTTAAAAAATAGTAAACAGCAACTTTCCCCTGTATTACATGCATGCTGAAAAAAATCCCACCAGACTCCATGGTAGTACCACAAATGTTCAAACCAAGAACACTTTTTCCCCTTTCCCCCCTACCCCCCATGGCAACTCATCCCTGTACCTGTTGTCAGGCTTTTCCTATAGTGTTTCCCATGAAAAGACTTTCGAGCAGGGAATATTTAAATGTTTAAATTACTCCTCTTGTCTCAGAAAAGCTTAGTTATTCACACTGTGGTTGTTGCTGTAATACTGCTGGAACGGTTTGGTGGGTGAGATGGGATGAGGATGAACTAGATGGCCTCTTATTTGAGACTGCAAGCAAGAAAACAGAAGGCCAGCGTAGCATGTTTTCTAGCAGCTTTATGCAGATGTGTTGCAGAGATGCAGCATAAATAAGTAGAAAAAAAAATTCACAGCCTCTTGACATAGTTTCCAGGGAAAGTACCAAAGAATTTGGTTCTTCTTGAGGTTCCTGAAATTAGAAGCAATAGATGAAAGATGGGAATAACAACAGAAAATCACTATGTAGGCATGGCCTTAAAATTTTTGTTTAATATTGCACAAACAGAAAGATCTACAGTTCCTTACACTATATAATTTTATTTGTGAGGTTTAACAAAGTATAAATGCAGGAAGCAAAAAGCAAATGAAGAGGCATATTTGATTCAATTGTTAGGCCTGCTTAACAGCTGTGCTAAAATTCTTGACACAGAAATAATTTATTCCAACAACATCAAGTCTATTTAAATAATTTGTATTTTTGCAATATTACGGACTAGTCAGATGATTAAGTTAGCTGCTGTGTGCATGAGGGTTTATGAAATGATTAAGCCACCTTATCTAGGCCTGGTTACAAAATCTTCATTTGTTCAGTAATACTTGGTTCTCTCAAGTGGTCAATGCTGTGGATGCATTCATGTGAGTAAGTTTTAAGTAACCTGGCCTTTATAAAGAGAGCAGTAATACATAGCCCATTCTGTGTCACAAGTGGCAACAATGCTGTACAACAATCCACAGACATGTCAATTTGCATCTATCAGTTTTAACAGAAGTGCAAAATCACCCTAATTTCACTGGATTTTGGTTGGGACTTCTCCTGATAAAGCCAGGTTCAACTTTATTACACTAACTGCCAAAAAATAAGTTGTTTAAAAGACAATACACAAAGAGGGCAGCAAATATCAGGGAAAAAAAAAAGAATAAAGCAACCAAATTAAAATTAAAACATACCCACAAACCATCCATCATCACACTTTTCCATCACATCAATGACATCTCCCTCTCTGAGCTCCAATTCATCTTCGTTCCTAGGAGTATAGTTATATAGAGCCTGAAACCTTAAATAGGACAAATGATGCATTTTAAAAAGAAGTAGGAGTTCCTTGTACTTTTGCTCAAGTAAAGGAGCTGGTTTAAACATTAACTAAGAAGAAACACTTCTGGCAAATAGAGGGGAAAAGGATTTTTTTTTTTTTCCTGGTGGACTTGAGGGTTAAGAACTTATAGAAAGTAAAACCTTCATTGGAAAGGTAACTCATGAGACACTAAAAACTGGATTTCAAGGCAAACCTGATGGCTTTTTAACCAGTTGCTTTAAAACAGATTAAAAAAAAATTAAATTTCAGTGTTATTTTATAGTTCAGTCACCAAACACAGGACTTCTAAAGGAAAGTCTAAATGTGCTGGCTCTGTAACCTTCCATGACCAGCACCTAAAACTGCACTTCTCCATTTCAGCTCTGTGAAGCCAGTAACACTGAGCACAAGTGAGGGTAGCAGCTCACACACACTGTCACTGTGGCTGGGGCACCTCCCTGGGCTCTTCAGTGGCTGCACAGATAAGCCATCTATCTCTGAGAGTGAAGGAAAGGCTTCAGTCAAATCAGAGAACATATGGATGGCAACTCAAAAAATATTCAAACCCTGACCTCTGCCTCTACCCCTGGCCAGGAATGCAGATTGCAGGATGTAAGGTGGATAAATGGCAAGAGGTATGCAATTACTAAATGCAGGGTCTTTCACTTCTTGGCAGCTTTTAACTGAGGTTTTTTGAATTGAAAGAATAAACTCTCATTAGGGGGAACTGAAGGTTCTTGGGCTTACAGCCCACAGGAAGATTGCTGAACAGGCCCGTGAATCCTGCAGACTGAGAATTGGCCTTTTTTTCTAAGCAACTGTGGCTCAGATACGACTGTTTATAAAGAAACAGGGTACAATTGCAGAAATCGTGAAAAGAAAATGTTTTTAAATACAAAATACTGAAGCAAAACATAATAGCATCCATTCTTTTCTCTTAAAACAGTTCACTGGATTTTAAACCTTAATACCATTATTACACTCTCCCCAGTAAAAACAAGATAGCTTGCCTGTTGATGTGTTTATAATTCCAGCTAAATTAAAAGTTTATTTTAGTAAAAAATTCCTGCTCCTGAAAGCCCAATTTGAAAATCCTATATACAGACTGGTGCCAGGTTTGGTTTAATGATGGCCATCTTGACTAAGCTACACTTATTTTTCACATTGCTCATTCGGAGATTGAAAAAGAAGACAATGTTCCGAGAAAAAAAAAAACCAAAACAATTTCTTGTGACTGGCAGTTATCTTCCCAAGACTAAAAAGTCTATTTTTATATTTTAATTACTCTAACCAAATGGAAAGAAACTGACTGTTTAAGCATTTACCTCTGGTAATTTGTATAGCAAGAGTAAGAACAATCTGTGCAAAAAACTAAGGGGCAATAATGTTTTCTGTTATGCTTATCATCATTCCAGGAAAGCAGAGCTATGGTGATATTCCAAAAAACAATTAAAAGCAGCTTCCAAGGGGACATGATTTGCAGATGTAATGTGTCATGAACAGGATCCAAGCCAGTTACTTACTCAAGTACAGTAACAAGAACTTCCCAATTAGCACTCTTTGTTCTTAAGAAATGAAATCTTAAGTCATTCCTAGATAATCCTTTTTAAAACCTTCTTTGTAATAATTTCATTCTCTCTCTGCTAATCTGAGACTTTAAGGATGAAAACGACTAGCATTTACAATACTGACAGAAAACATATTCAAGAGAATGGTTAGTTGGCAATTTAAATATATTTCTATTTTTTAATTTAGGAAAAAGTAACTTTGGCCATGAACTTATACTATATTGAACAAAATTAGTCAGATAATTATTGCTTACAAAACTGAGTTAGGTGCTCCATTATGCTCAACAATACCAACAGGAACTTGTGGTTTTAGTGAGATTAAATATTCAAATCTAATTATATATCTGTGGTATAGCTATTTGGTAACTTTTTGCCTCTCTTTTCCACCTTCAAACAACTAAGGAAAACTTCAAAATATTTGTAGATGTTAAGCCTTAGCTACATTTTATGAAAAATTATCTAACAGGGCATATGCTGAAGTGCTCTGATGCTAAAGGAAGAATGCCTCCTGGTTTCAATGATCACTGAAGCAGGACCCAAGTGCAATACTGGGGTGGGGTGTGGGGAAATCTTGAAGCAATCTTGCAAACAACTTGCATTTTAACAGTCAGTACTGAAATATCCCAAGAACTTACAATGTTTGTCAAAATAAGACTTGAGTTCTAGGTTCTTCTCAAGTTTTCAGAAAAGCTTTCTTGTATCTCATATTTGAATTGCACTTGTAAATCACACCAACAAGTGAGAGCCTGTGTTCCTGTGATCAACATTGTCAAGTTACTTTTTTTCTCTGTATTCACATACAGAACTGTTTCTGAATAATTGTATTAAGTCAGTAAAGCAGATCATTTGAACCAATGTTAAATCTGTAACTGCCATTTTGTTGAGATGTGAAAAGGGAGAGAATAAAAAAATGTCAAAATCTCTTCCATGAATATAGACAATGGAGAAACGTTAAGTTGCCATGTCTGCCTGCACTGCCTGTAAAATTAAACAAATAAGGCTTTGCCCTCTGGGACCCTTTTGGATATCTTCCTACATCAGGCAGTTATCTACAAATACGTGAAATCTCCTCATAATTGTACTTGACAAGTTAAAAAATTATCCTATGATCTCCTGGCTGTTGCTTAAAGGTTAGTTTTGGTTTAGTAGACAAGAAATATACTTACGGTTCCCCCCCACTGTGTATGTTTTCATGAGAAAGCACAGGGCGCTGTGGCTGAAATGAAATGATTTGAAATGTAATAAAGATTTGCAGTTTAAGGTCCAAATAGTTGGATAGGGATGTAACACACAGTTGCTCAAGAATTCATATTCTACCTTGTGTAAAACAACAGCTCATTCTGCTCCCCTTCCAACTCACAATAAATTCTTAAGAGACATGACAAACAACTGAATCTTGGCAGGCTTAAATATCTGATTTTTGGAGGTCATAATAAAAACTAAACAAAACTGTGAACTTTAGAACAGTCCATTCTATTTATAGTATAGTACAAAGCTGGAATAGAACCTTATTGCCTGTTCACTGTGAAACAAAAATAACATTAGAAAAATCAGATGCAACTGATGAACATCATACATTCTTTGGGAGAAATGTGTTTTTAGATAAGCATAAATAAAATCTCCTCTACATAATGGCAGAATCTACAATATTCATAGACAAACAACATACCAATTCACATTTCACACACACTTGGCAGGCATAACATGCTATACTTCAACTAATTCTGTTTCATCTCAAGCCATGCAGGCTGTTGGGAGGCAAAGAAAAGAAACAATTTTTGAAAGAATACATTTAATTGTGTGGAAATAACATTAACACTTCTATTTCAGCAGAAAAAAAGTAGTTTGTATTTCCAGTGCAAAGCTTTGTGACAAGAACTACATTCCTTCTCAATGGAGCATTATCAGCCACTAATATTCAATGCATGTGGATGCAATGGAAATGAAAAATACTAACCTCTACAGAAACCATATCCTGCTTAGAAAGTGATTGACTTATACTGATTAGAATCTGGCTGAGGGCACAAAGTGCAGGAGCAGCTGCTTAGGAAAGTGCTGGATATGAGCAGGGATCGCATTCTCTGTTGACTGAGGATACTCTCTGGTCATGCTGTAGAGACAAGTCTGGGAACCATATCTGTTTTGGGACTGTGGGTATCAAACACTGCTCATAGCACTTTCTTTCATGAATTGAGTAAACTGCAACCTGATCTTTAAGCCATGGAATTTGTCTTATTGCCCCATGGTTCCCTCTTGGTTTGACTATTTCAGTCACTCATTTATCACTCTTGAAGATGATACAGTCTTCCAAGAGAGAAGGCAAAAGTAAACAATCCACAGGCTGATGGCAAAAATTGAATGGAAAAGCACAAGTTGTAGTTTGTTAGGTTTCTTTTCCCCTTTTCCCTTTCAACATCTCCAGATGAAATCAGTTAAAATTATTTTCAGCAGTTTGTATGACTACATGCAGAAAGTATTGTGAACAGTCTGACCTTTATCTTTACAGTCTAAAAGAGTATAACTTTTAAAAGGTGCCTAAATATGCAGGTAAATAGAATATAGACTTCTTTTAAAATTCATACTATTGAATGCTAGGTAGGAAAGAGTTTTTCAAAATAAAAGAAAACAATATTGTTTATACTCTTTACTGTCTTCTCCCTCACTTAACTCTCCCATGCCAGTGTACAAGAAAGATGGATAATTTTTATCAAAGAATAAATAGTAAAGATTGCAAATTAAACAGTTCTCAGCAAACCTCCTTCAATGGCTGGCCTGTCAAGCAAGAGGAGAATAGTCAGAATGCTTTGTATTTAGACTGGAATCTGACCTTAGTTGCTGCTAATCTTTCATCAGGTCTGTAACTGAGCTGAATGCCAAAGATAGTCAGAGATGCAAAAGAACTCAACCGAGGTTAAGGACTTTTCCTATAAACAATGAAAGTAAAAGTCCTAAACAATGCTACAAATGATTTAATACTTTGGACATAAACCATGTCAGGAAGGAAGTGGATAGGTTAGTATTTTGTTCTTTTTCTGCATATGCTTAATAAAATGTTTTATTGCTAATTAACTACTGTAAAACAGATAATAAGAATCAAGGTGACTCATGATTTTCAACTCTATGTTATTGCCACAGAGAAAACAATCTTTTTGACAAAATTACTATCTTGGAGAATAGGGTGAAGTTATTCGTGGTATGTCTGAACAGGGGGACCTTGGAGCTTGTTCTCTATTTGGATGCATTCCACAATAATACCCGAGCTGACATCCAGAAGCTTTCTCCCTGTTTTTTTTCCCTAAGCATTCATCCCCCATACAGTGGTATTGGCTAGACAAGGGACTATTGCAAAGATTTATAGTTTTTAACTGCACCTCAATTTCCTAGACTATCCTATTTCCTGGGAAACATTGCATGACCTAATCTGAAAACCATTAAAAAGTGTGCAATCAAGTCAAAGGTCCCAGTTGTATACCTGATTTTCATGCATGGTTGATACTGCACTTGCATATAAAAGTTCTGTAGAGTCCTGAGCATGCAAATTAGGTGCATGATATGTGCTTTTGTACTTTTGGAATTAAAGTCATAAATACACTATACATTGACCAATACGCTCCCCTTAATATACTGATTACATGCTATTCATTTGGAGAAATGTGCAAAATTAAAATAGGGCTTAATCCCTTTTTTATAGCCTTTATTCCTAGATGGACTTTCTGTGGTATGATATTTGTCTGCTACTACAAGAATCCTGGCCTTCCTAGGACTGAACTTTCTTCAATAATGAAGAAAGCACTGTCTCCTCATACCTGCAAGCAAACAGAGGCCTACCAAAAAGCTTAGACTTGGAAAATTACACAAATCTGCTTATCTTGAACTGAAATTCAAATTTTAAAAAGGAAGGGACCAGAAAAGTGATCACCTAAAACCAGCAGCAATAGCATGAAAAACAATTCATCCCATTAACAGTTTTGAGAGATAAATGCTAAGAAACCAACACAAAGGACAATTAAATCCTGAACTGAAAGTAAAACATTAGCCATAAGTTCTCATTCTCATTTAGTTTAGATTGAGGGCAGGGTTTTTGTGTTTGACTTCATTTTTTTGCTTCCCTCTTTTTCATAATGTAGATCACCTTTTTGAGCAAAATTCATGCAAACAGTAAACAACCTTTTGACTTTCTCTCTAGGTAAAAATATTAGAACTGTGTTACAGTTATATTACTGTATAAGAAGGGAAAGGTTAAATATTAAAATCCGGAATGATACTGCTGGATAAAGAGGACAGTGTTGAGTGAAAAAAAATACAGCAGGAGCAGAACATTTTGAAAAGGAGATGGATCAAAACCAAAAATTCAATCTGTATACATGCAAAAGCCTGTATACATGCAATGAAGTATAAACTTTTGACTCAGAAGCTGTGATTTTAATAAACAAAAAATGCTTTAAAAGAGAGGAGTAATCTTAATGAAACCAGATTAAATATAAAGAACTTTGATATCTTACATCTTGTAGCACTGGAAATACCACGCAGTACTGCAGAGATACAGTACACTAATGGATTTACATAATACATTCAGGCACACACAGACCTGTTGCCTTTACTCAGTTATAGCACAGAAGCACAACCGGAAGAAAACACAGCATATCGATATTGAGACACTTGGGTAAAAGCAAAATACTGAAAGGCTAGACATTGAGCTCCTTGCCCATGGAAATGCTGTTACTGCACACTGGGCATCCAGTACCATACCCTGTGTGAATAGCTGTGACCTCTGACAGGTGAGCAGCAGGATCTCTTAGTCATCACTGGGCTACGAGGAGGTTTACCCATAACAAATATGTCCCTCTTTAAATTAGCCTAGAAGAACCACAAAAACTTAGTCAAGTCAGAGTTTAAGAATGAAGCATCATGGGATTTTTGTTGCTTCATTCTGTCATGCAAACCAGGCATGCTTTTCCTGATAACAAAAAGCAACTGTTACAGGTAAAAGGAAGAGTACTATTAATATACAGTATTTTCATTGCTACCCCTGTATGTTCTTTTTCCAAGGGTTTGCTGCTCTGGCATGTGCCTTTACATGTAACAATTAAAAGATTAATCACACATAGAATATGCAGTTGGAACGGTTATTGCATGTGTATCCCTTGAACTAGTTCAGATAGTAACAGAAAAGCTCAACAGTACAGAGAAGAAATGCTACCTTAATAACACCAGTGACAAATGCACTTCCTTGCTATTAAACAGAACACACACCTTGGATTTGCATTTAGAAAGCAAGTAAATACCCGGTGGAAAGTACTTCATGGAAGTATCCTCACTTTGCTAGCATCACTATCGGAATTCTGTTCTTAAGGGGTGTGTGTGCAGCAAATGTGAATTCTCATGGGCAGGGGTGCATTGGGGGGAATGTGAGAAAAGTGGAGTGCTATACTGGAAATCTTTTCTTAGGTATTTGTGACTGTCAGTAGAATGTGACTAAACAAAAATCCTCTCTTTGGAGAGGGGTGAAAAAGATACCAAGAGGCCAAGGAGGTAGAAAAACGTCAGCATTTCTCCTCAGGATATGTCTTCAGACTTCTTTGTTTGGAGGACACATCCCTCTCACCTCCCTCAGTGCAAAGTGAAACTTCCCACCCATAGCTCCTTGTATTCCATTTCCCACATCCCTGGTCATGCTTTAGTTTTGAGCTGCGTTATACATATATATATATATATGTGTGTGTGTGTGTGTGTATGTATATATATATATATGTGTGTGTGTGTATATATATATATATGTGTATATGTATATATATGTGTGTATATGTATATATATGTGTGTATATGTATATATATCTATATATGTATATATATGTGTGTATACATATATGTATATATATGTATGTATTTTTAACTTAACAAAAATTACTGAGGTATCAGAATACAGTTTCAAGAACTCTCTGAATAACCTCCCTACACCTGTGATACTTGATTCTTCAAAATGTTTTGTTTTTCCTGCTGTGGCAGTTGAGAGCAGAACTTAATCATGGGCAACATGCACAAAGAGGAGATAGGAATTGTCCTGTCTTCTCCAACTTAGCCTGTAGACTGAATAGCAAGAAATCATGACAGCCTGGTTATACTATATTTTAATACATCTCTATATTCCGGCAATATTATCAATGTTGACTGATTAAAACATCTGTCATTGGTAGGTGAGTATCTAATTATTTTGACAGTTTTTAAATAGGTATGTCTATACTGATTAAGTTTATAAACGAACTTGTTCTTTAGATTTAAAAAATAATCCAAATTAAAATGGTTTGAAAACAGTAATTAAGAGCTAGGACTCTGTAACAAGACTCCAGACCTTTAGCTCTTCTTGGCACTCAGGCTCTTGTGTCTGCAGGATGGAGTCATCCCTATGGTTCCTGGTGTCTTGCCTCCTGACTTCCCCAATTAAGAGCAATACAATGCCTTGAAGGTTCCCTGGGGCAGAGTTTTTAACTCTTACAACATATATTACTTCTATTTGCTTTCAACTCAGATCAACACAACTTATTCAAATAAGGGCAAAGAATATATAAAGGTCACCTAAAAAAAATTTCAGGGTACAAGAGGCATGCTCTTAATTTTTCTGGTTAGGCTAAGCGAAAGCACCAAAAGCACTGTACCAACTCCTAAACTACTAAAAGTTGCAGAAACAAGTGCAGTGCTCTGTTTTACCCCTTCTTTGAGGTGGAACAAACCTAAGCTAATGACAGATTAATGCCCTGGAAAGAAGCCTTATGTCTCTTCCCTACTTCGGAAAAACCCCAACAGACCTTAGGGTTGATCTTAAGACTTCTTTAAGTCTTTTATGTCAGTGTTTTCTGTGAATACACATTGTGAGATGCGGTAGATATTATTTAAAAAAAAAAAAAAAAAAAACAAACAAAAAAACCAAAAACAAAAAAACCCCCAAAAATCATGAAAGAAAAAGAAAAAAAAAGAAAAAAGAAAGGAGGGTGTTTTTGGCATAGCTGTAATGGTTGCTTTTCTAGGATAGTTTCTCTTTACATGACTTTTTCTCCCTTTCATGAACAAATGAATCTTCTTGAAGTCAGCACTGTAAATTAATTTTGTCTTTCTAGAGCAAGTTTTCATTTTTCTGCCACAGAACTTCAATGCTGACACAAACTGTAGTCCTGAAGAGGGAATAATTATTTTTGTCCAGTCCTTGACTAATGGAATTGGCATTTAGAACATGAGCCTCTGCAGTGGTACTTTACTGTGAAATTTAGAACTCTTCTCCCAGGCTTTGGATTGAAATTGAAAACAGAAACACAAATGTTATCTAGTTTCTGTTTACTTGAGTACAGTTCTGTTTCATTCAATTAAATAAGTTACATTGCTGTCCTGGCATGGACCTGAAATTGATTTGCTTTCTTCTTTCCTATCATTGGTATCTTCTTAAGCTATTTAATTGTATCATAATGATTATAGTTTTACCTTGCATTTCATTTGAAAGAAGCCTATCTTAATACTCCATTTTCTATGTTATTTATTATTAGTAAAGAAAACTGTACATCCAAGAAGATCAAACTCAGTGTTAGTCTTGCAGTTACTTAACAGACACACAGATTTACAACAATCCATACAAAAGGTGCGGTTACCTTTAACTGAGGTGAGTCTTTCTCCTGCTGATGTAAGGTTTTAGAAAGGAGAGGAGGTGAGAGGGAAGCAGTAGGCAGGGATGTTGTAGGAATGGAGTGGGAAGTAGGTGCCTTGGCAGAGGGAAATGGAAGATTAGAAGAAAGGTGGAAAAGAGGATCAGTCTCGTGATATTCCAGCAGAAAGCAGAGCTGCCTTAAATGTTTAAGAAATACAAGAAGTAACTGTGCTATAAAACTGTGTTAAAATCAGCTGAAGGATATCAAGTGCTCAATAAGGAGTCATGAAGCTAACCAGAACAATCACAAATTTCATGCTAATCTTAGTCATCTAATTTTCTGGAAGAAATTTCTTGCCTCAGAAAGGATTAAAAATTTGCCATTTGTGGCCATGGATTTTACATCTATTCTTACATTTTTCTCCTATGTTTTTCAGGTCATTTAAGGGTAGAGGTAGCCTGCAGAATTTAACATCTGGCCTAAAACATATTCTCCTAAGCAACTGACTTGCATGTTGACAGTCAAAGCAACTGCCTGAATAATCTGTTGAAGTGCTGGACAGAAAGAAATCTATTCTAAAACTCTGCCTAGAAACCACACCAAGTGTGTAGTGATATTGTGGCATTTAGCACACATTTGAGATAGTTCAGTGATGTGCTGTCCCAAAGAGGAACTGGGGAGGGCTTCAGGAGGAAGCATTTGTCTGACTGCCAAACATAATCTGATCTGTTACTGTTAGTCAGATTCTTGTAACAGAGCCTGCTATAAATATATCAGCTAGTGAAGTGACACATGTGAAGCACAAACCGCAGAGTCTCTGCAGGAGGCACATGTCCCTCCCTCTGGAAGCTGTTGACAGCCTTTGCTTGCAGGGGCCTCTCTCTTAAAAGGGGCAGCACATAATGGGCCAGTGAGGGAAAAAGTTCACTGGCATTTCACATCAGAAGCTCCTCAGCAACCAAAAAGGACAGAAGGGAAAGGACCAGCACAACTGATACATCACAGAATTGATAATGGTGCATATGCCTGCTGCTGAGAAGGGACTGTCCCCTAACATTGACAATTTTTAATCATAGAATCATAGAATGGTTTGGGTTGGAAGGGACCTTAAAGATCATCTATTTCCAACCTCCCTGCCATGGACAGGGACACCTTGCACTAAACCAGCTTGCTCAGAGCTCAATTTCATTGAATGTAATTGTATAAAATTGTGCCTATGCACAATGCAAACATATCAATACAAAGAAAGGCAGAGAATAATTACACTAGAAGTTATCTGAACACAGAAGTCAGGGTTTTCAGAAATTAAAATACCTTATCAATATTTGGTGAAGTGTATCCTTCATAACATTCCATAGCATCTTCTCCACTTGCTATTGGGAATTCTAAATTGTCAGGGACCAGATCCTCCTCTATGTACAGTCTTGTCAGTTCTTCTGCTGTGTCTTGTGCTCCTTCGTAGAAATCTGATTCTTGAGGTTCTGACTGCTCCCCTACATTAAGTGACAGATCTGCAGTACAGATTTCCTCTTCATTTTCAGCAGCTGTAGCCAGCACTCTGGACACAGAACCTCCTTCATATGGTGAAGGGATGTTACAGATAGAGCCATGTTCACCTTCTCTTGTAGCATCTGACAAATCTCTAGGTATTTCAATAACTAAAGGGTCAATTATGCCTTCTAAGTCTTTATCTTTTCCTGACTTGGTATTGTTGCTGACATGATTACATGCTATGTCACGAGATGAGCTGGCTGAAGGTGAGTCAGAGGAAGATACAAGAAAGGACAGAGGAAGAGCTGTAGGAGAGCTGAGAGACACCTCTGTATTTGGCATAAAGAGACCATCTTTAACATGGTGAATGCTATTACCTGGGGAGATGGCTACAGTTTGGGCGGTTGCTAATGCCAAAGATTTGAGTTCTTCTAAGTCACAAAGAAAATTGTCTGTAACTGATGGAGAAGTTAAGTTGCACATGCTTGAAGGTGAAAAACCAACAGTCCTTGAAAAGGAGTCACTAGAGGCAGCCTGGAGAGTCTTTTGATCAATGTGTGACCAAGAAGAGGAAATTTGTCTGGCAAGTGGGGTCAGTGCTTGGGAAGGCAACTTCAAAAATAAGAAAAACATAGGAATTGAAATAGATGAGCATGACAGAGAATTAGGATATGAGTAAACTGGAAAAGAAAAATGTCTGTGCTATCATCTGGACTACAGGGTACAATTTCAGTGACCATGGGTGTCTGAAATCACTACTACATGAATCAGAGCAGCAGGAAAGACATTTGAAACATGAAACTGTATTGGGTTCTGGCTTAGGGCATAAATGTCAAACATTAAGACAGATCTTCTGAATCATTACATTCATGAAGGTAACTGCATTTGAGCTGCTAAAGTTATGCTACTTATGGTGCTCTGTTAGTGAGCCTGTCACAGGTTATTAAATCATACAATTAATATTAATAAAACTTTCCCAAACCATTACTATTATTTTAAGAAGAGCATTTTTAGAAGTACACTTCAGGTGTCATTAAATACTTCTTTCCAAGTATAACAACTGAGGTAATTTCTAATTATTCCACTGTTAATACATCTGCTTTTTCCTAGTACTTCTGAGTAAATGTTTAAGAAACATCTTTAATACACTGCATACTTTTATTAAGGCATGAGCAGCTACAGAATGTATTTGTTTTTCAAAAGTAACCCTATTGGTCAAAATGATGTCAACATTTGTGAAAGGTACATTCATTTTATATTTGACATAGGCAGTCAGCAATGCTTTTAAAGTAGTGACAGCACAGTACACAACAGTATTCTTTGAGTACCGTTACACAATATTGATTGAAGTGTCCTTCTGGTAAAAGAAAGGTCCTTTTCTAAGAATGAGAGACTGGTGAGTCATACGTACACAGCATCAGTAGATATCCATTGCTTCAGTAAATACTGAAAATGCATTTTTGTTACTATTAATCCTCAAAATTAAAATTGAGCAAAAAATACTTTGATCTCCTGTAAGTTATCTGGACAACTACAAACTTTAAGTATTAATGTAGTAGAGAAAAAGAATTTCAAAAGTCTATATTATTGTTGCAGAATAGGGAGGTTAATTTACTTACCTTCTGCTTGAGTTTTCTTGAGGCAAATAGCTTTATTTCATAGTTAGACAAACCTTTGTCATAGTTATAGAGCCTTCTGTACCAATGTAAACGTATGTACTAATACAATGCAATGCAGCTAGGCTGTTGCAGCCATACTCAGCCCCCTCCCTTCATATTTCCTCTTAAACAAGGGCCCCTAACCTGTGCTTTTAAGGTCAATAATACCGCTAAGGAGACTTCACCATGTGTACTTTCCCATGGCAATAAGCTGCACTAGATCTAAAGATATAGATGGATTAGGCCAAGTTATGGAACTTGATTATGACTTGTATTGCTTATTTATTTTATTGCCATTAGGCCAGAGTCATTCAGTGCAATTGCTCCAGCAACAAGGAACAACGTGTGTAAAAAATTCCACAGGAATAGGGAAAGTGGCATCAGAAAGTGTGGTAAACTCTAAAACACCTTCAGGACTGCTGAAATTCTTCTAGGTAGTCAGGAACAACATGACTTCTTCATGGTATTGCCATTTCTGAACACAGTTGAATTCAGAAAAAAAGATGTCTGTTTCAGAGTCTCAGTAGAAACTGGTGGTTTTGTTTCTTTTTTAAACTCGATTATTGAAGAAGTATCCTGTGTTAAGAAGAAGACTTCTACCAATCTCCTTCCCTCCTGAACTAATTTAGAAGTACCTAACTTAGTAATAGCAGCAGCATAGTTTTGTAAAATGGATATAAATGCCCTGAAGCATCACCTGTGCTCAACAAGGGTTATGGAGCTTTAGCTGCAGAATACCTTAGTGACAAGCCTGCTCTGCAGAAAATGGGGAGAGGCATGTCCAGAACACAGAGCACTGAATCTGCCTCATACTCTTGACTTGCCTTCTGGACCTTCTGGATTCCTGCAACACTCAGGGGCCCCAGCAACTACAATTCTGTGGTTGGCAGCTACAGAATTTGATGCTACTTGAACTGTTTTGTGGGAATAAAAGAGAGAGGATCTAGTTCTCTGTTGTGACACATTCTGGAAAACCAGAAAAGACCTGTTCTAGCAACTGTCCCAAACCAAGTAATATTTAGACATAAGTAGTATTTTCAGAGGTTACTGCTGCCTATAAATGACATCTTTGGTAGCTTTTTAAAACCCCAAGTACTAAGTAAATGTGGAACTTATTTCAAAGTTGAAGCATGTGGATGACCACCAAGTATGCAAGAAGATAGAGTAGAAAAGGGGACAAAACCAAATGAAACATGGATTAATAGTGGATAAGAAGTTTATAATTGCACACAAAACCCACTGCCTATGCTGAAGAGATAAACAGCAAAGGTAAAGAGGAAGATTTAGAAAAGTTTCCATCTTGAGTGCTCAAAATAATTGATACCATGTTAATTCTGAGCACAGTTTGTATGCAGAAACTTTTTAAGTTTCTATCACTACCAAAAATGTTACGTTCCCTGCACCGATGACTGCGAAGCCTCACAAGTAAATGATAAACAAGCACACAGGAATCTTCCTGCAGCACCCTGTAGTAGGGCTTGTGGTGGTTATGTAGGCTAGGAAGGAACACAATTCAGAATCTACAGTACACATTTGGTGTGAATAACACACAACCATGAAGGTGTGAATCCAAGTTCACTGACAATGTGATGACAATAATCTCACTCCTAAATGAAACAATACTGCCAGTTTGTACCACTCCAAAAAATGTACCAACAGCCTCCTCCTAGACTGTGAATGGCAAAAGGAGGAAGGTTTTAGTACAGAATCACTGTCTGTTCTCCTTTGTTTCAAAAGGTACAAAATTGGTCTTGGCAAGCGGTGTCCTGCATGCTTATGGAACTGTAGGCTTTTAGGACAACTGTATTATGGAAGTGTCTTCATATTGTGCTATTAGAATCCTGCTAGACATACCCTTAATGCTCATATTCTTGCTACGATTCCCAAATAAATTCTTCTCTGTTGATCTTTCTGCCCAAATTTTGCCTGCCTCTACTGTCAATAACGTAATAGGCAACGAAGAAAAGAATATGAGACCCTTGTGTATTAAAAATAATCTACTAACAACGCAATAATGCAATTCTACCCAAGCAAGTAAAAAAAGTTGTGTACTTAATGCCTAAGTTATGTATTACATTAACAAAAGAATTACAAGTCCTTCTAAACCCACTCTAGGGGTGGCAGCTAACATCAGAAAATCCTTACCTTAGTTGAACTTAAATGATGTATTCTGTCACTAGAATAGCTTTGGGGTATTGGAGGCTCAGGATAGTCATCAACACTTTTTGATGGATTCTTTTTGATGACTTCTACGTAGGAAACAGGGAAGATGCCTTGTTTGTTGGTTCCTGGTATTTTACCTTCATACCAGTTTTGATCAACTCGCTTAAGAAGGATTACTCTGTCTCCCTGAAATACATTATGAAAATGAGTTATCAGAACATACATTGGAAGTTAATTTTGTGCATAACAGATATTATTTTAACACATAATAGTATTTTCCCTGCACTGCTGTTTCCCATCAGTCTTGAGCATCATATCCATTTTCCCATTTCTCCTGCCATTGATAATAACCACATATAAAACTACCATTTCAGTAAAATGAGGGGTTAGGAATGGACTGAAAATGCTTTATCAGATGGGGAATCTCATGCAGTCTTCTCCTCTTGCTTGGGAGATGAACATCAACACTTTTCTTTGTTTTAATTCTTGCCCAAACTACTAGCTAATACTCCAACTATAACACGCAAACAGTGACCGCTGTGCCCATTTTTTCTTACAAATGGTAAGAATTAAACAACGAAGGCTTTTTTTTTTTAGTGTATTTTATCTTCAGTAATTTTCTACTTATACTGTATTTAAAAGCTTATCATAATAATTGTAACAGCCAGGAATAATAATTAAAAAGAGGAATGGATAATTGAAGAGAAAATTCAAAATTCAGCTGGACAGTTAGCAGATGATTGCATATGCTAATCTGCCACAATCCATATTAGACACACTCTGCAGGTAGCTGAGAGACTGCAAGCCAATAATTGATTATGTTAGAGTTTCCTACCATGGCATTGCTTTGTGCTTTGCAAATCTTGAATGCAGAGTGCACCCAAAGCACAGTATTTACCCATATATTGATTCTGTGTAGCAGGAGACACTATAATGGTATTTTGATGGAAGACAGTTATCCACTGTACCTTTCTAAGTGATAACTCCACATTTGTGTCTGCACTGAAATTATATTTGGCAACAGCTTCTCCAATCTCTCCAATCTGTGCAGGGGGAGGTGGCCTGGCAGGCTGTGCTTTTTCTGGGGGAGAAAGTTTCTAAGGAAAAAGAGAAACCAGATTTCCATCATTCTCATGGGGTTTGTGTACCTATTACCCAAATTAATTAAAAGAATTAAAACAGAGAACAAACCTCAACATAAGAAATTGGGAATATTCCAACTCTTCCATGGTGCTCACCCTCATACCAGTTTTGATCAATTTTCCTGAGGATATAGACAGTATCTCCTTTCTTAAAGGACAGCTCTCTGTAACAAATTTATTTATATCAGATGTTTATAGCTTTACATTTAACTCTTCTCCTTGCATGGCTCCTGAGATATTTACACTTTGGAACTGAAACAGAAGGTAACAACTAAACATTTGACTAAAAAGTGTCACAGCCATGGTACATTTACCAGTTGATCATACAATATAAAATCAAATGACTCACATTTATGAATCCCCTGCAGTACCTATATGTTACATAGGCCTGTTTTACACTGTGATTCCAAGGAAATATTGCTACCTACTACCAGAGCACTTAGTATGATGTCTGCATGCAAACATGATGTTTTTTAGATCACCTGTTTAAGTAGTGCTTTTATGGCAGATATCAGAGGGGCATTTGGCGTGTTCTTTATGGATTCAGTAGGAAAAACACAGAGTGTATCCCATGTCTTAATGGTCTATCACGACCTTTTAGCAGTCTAACAGTGTGCTTCTGCTCTACACATTTCTATTTTCAATGCAGCTATCTAGAAGCATGAAGAACACACAATTATGTTCTCACCATTTCTTGGTATCAGAGCCTGTGATATGTTGAATGTTGGACACAAAAAAAGGGAATTATTAAAATCTTAAGGATATTTTCAGATCCTGGCTTGGGATTTGGTTTTTCAAGAGCTAATGTAATTCTAGTGTCAATGTTTGGCCATACCTAAAGATTGTTTAAATGCCCTGGATCATTGGAACCACAGCAAAAATGAAATGCAGATCCTCCAACTCTCTCATATGGTAAAATGATTGTTCCTCATCTTGATTTTGTTATGGACCACTGCCTTTTGTGTTGGTATGTTATGTGACATCCTGCAGAAAGTCTCTGTATGTTAAGACAGACAGGAAGATGCTGCAACATTATACAGACTTTTGATAAACTCATTATCTATGACACTATTTTAAGCCCTTTACCCTCGCACTTCAGTGTAATTCACAACAAAGGAAGAGCCTTCAGTGGGTGTCCCTCAAAACCTGTGCTCTAGATGGCTGAATATGCACAGCTATTCACGTGTTCAGATATAACTGAGAATATAATAATTTAAGACATTTTTTTATTACAAAATTACTTCTCACATGGTTTGCTAATGCAGGGGCTACTGTGACAGCAAGCAGGGTCCTCATGTCCATGGCATCTGCTGTTGAAACTGGCTCAAACACCAGTTAAGTGGTAGAAAAAGTTTTCTTGAACTACGAATTCTTAAATGAACAGAAGTCTAGTACTTACTTAGAAGTTTGAGCTTTAAAGTCATATACAGCTCTAGCTGGCAGTTTCTGAAAAATAGGCAAAGTGATTAATACATTCAGGTAGTATTACTATATGATAAAAGTGTTTCAACTTTTAAAAGGGTGACCAAGATCTGAAAAGAAAAGGATGAGCTCTACAGTGGTTCTTGCAGGAATAGGCTATTAAATAGATGGCTTTTTTTTTTTTTTTTTAGGCAAGTTAGGTGTTTGGGACTTAGTGTTCTAACCCCAGAAAAAGCTAAATTTTAATGCAGACTACTTTGCAACTTTATGTTTAAGAGAAATACCAAAGTAAATAAAAGAGTTAACTATGTCAATGTGATTTGTAGGCAACTAGATCTCTAGATACAACACAAATACACATAATATTCTGTAGTATTTTAGGTGCCTTTTCTGTTAAACTTGTTATCTTTAGGTTGATTTCAATTGCAAATGATGCATTACATTTATACACATATATACTCTGTCAACTGGAAATGGCTGGAATATTTTTGATTCCTATAATTAAAGTCATAATTTTAAGAAAGCACAGGACAGGAGGTGATCTCCTGAGTTATCTGCACAACTCTCTTGCTATCACAGGCAATCACATTATGCAATTTCTTGCATACATTTGTCAAGTTCTATTACCAAGTACGTGTAAACTCAATGTTATTTCAAAAATAAACCTGTAAAACAGCCCTACCTCTCCTCACCTGTGTGGCTGACACTCTCACTGTTTCCAAATCTGTGCTGAAAACATGAACTGTGATCTGACCCAACAGCTTCACTCATTGTCTGTCTACATCTGACAAGCAGCCAGCACCAGATACTTCGTGGAAGGTGCAAGAAGAAATAAGCAGTACCTCATGAGGGTATTTGGTAAAGTGATTCAGACCTTCTCTGCAAGCACTTGCAAAGATAAGATTGCCACATTCTAAAAAATGTCTCTCTAGGAATGATTGATTATGTTATTTCTGAGAGATACTATCTGTAATGAGGTAAGGGTGGGTATCTTATGAGAGGAATAAAAAGGGACACTTGTAAATTTTGCATTTTACCTTTATTCCAGGCCAGGTGTTCATGACTGGGTTCTCTCCCTTCTTGTCATTTTAAGACTAGCAAATCTAGCATACCTAGAGAATTGTCTACACTATAATAAAAAGTACCTAAAGTTATCATAGGGGTCCTGTCAACTTGAATTTTGCAATATTAACACAATTTTCCATTACAGATCTCCTTGAAATAAGATAGTATAAATTTAAAAGCATTTTTTTGTTCCTTGCTGTTATCAAAACTAACAGGAGTGAGTTTTAGTCAGGAGGGGATATTCATGTCAATTGTTGCTAAGACCTTTTCAGTCTTTACTGATTTTGGTACAGCTGGTGCTGTAACTACTACAGCAAATAACAAGAAGAAAGGGAATGGTACTAAAAGAACAGTGGAACTGTTAAAATAAAAAAAATACTTTGAAATGTACAAAACATAACAGAAACAGAGATGCCTTTCCTGTTTCATATTTTTAAAACTTTTAAAGTGATCTTACAGCTTGTAATTTAAGTATTTCACGTATTTTCAAATTGAAAGATGACTTTCTATGTCACAAGGTTCTTTAAAAGAAACACACCATATGGCTTCTGGAATTTTTTTTAGCCTGTATTTTGCAATGAGAGGTGTTTTTAAAAAAAATCGGACTTTTAACCAAATTGCATCAATATAGACATGTCAGTGGGATGTAAATGGATCAGAATTCCGTTCTAACCATATCACCACTTACCAAGGTAGATCACCCAGAGCAAAATCTTAATTACTAGCAATTAAAATATGGTAATATTTTATGCTGCCATTATTCTGTGCAATATTTTAATAAAAATCAATTGGAATTGTTAGAAATCCATTGTCTATAGATGGTGGTTAATTTAAATGTACTTTATGATTTCAAATAATCCATGAAGCTTGTTTGGAGGGAATTTATAGTTCTAGATCTATAAGCATTCTCAAGATACGTGATAATATACTTTATTTTTCAATATGTACATTGCAGAGATACTTTGCGTTACTTTCAAGGTGGTGTGCCTACTTCCATTTCCTCTTCCAAAGCATTACTACAAGCAATCAGTATCTAGTTACAATCACCAGCTGCTACAGATGTTAGGGACTGCTCTTAGAATAAATGTTTTTTTTCTAATCCACTAACAGCAGTGGTTTGTCTTTTCCAAATAAAAATAATGGTGAAATAATAGATGTTTTGTACCAGTTTTGAAACTGCCAAGGCAGTTTTTTTGTGTAATGCTTTGGGTTTCTAAAGAACCTTTCCCCAGTCACATCTGCTCTTTTTCTCTGTTCCAAATGCAAACTCCAACCAGTTTTGACAGAGCTGATCAATGACTGGTGAATTTATGTCCATATCTATTTAATAATAAATAGAAGAATACAGCTTATCTTACAAAGCTTGATGTTATTTTAATTTCTTGAAGTACCAATCTCCTTAATGAAAAATGAAGATGCTGCCTCATCTGATAATAAGTCACTGTTCCTTTGGTCTTCATTTTTATAATGACTTAAAACCAACACAAATCTTGTCTCAAATATGTTACCAATTTTCCATATGGATATCCCTTTGCTATTTATTGTTGCTTCACTACCTCTTTGTCTGTAGTTCCTCTTCTCTCCCTTGGAGCACATCGTCCCACATCAGTGAAAGCAGAAGAATAGCTTCCAGGAGACTCCTGGTCTACTGAAAACAGAAATTATGTGAAACTACGATAAACAAAACCATTCAAATCTGTGAAGCTGCTTGTTTTCATTTAGGGGGGTGAAAAGATATTGAAATCTATTATTTTACCTTTAATAGAAAGAAAAGCACATGATATGATGGTTAAGTGCACCTTTAAAGGAAAAAAAAAAAAAAGATACGAACTCTTAAGCAAAGGCAAAGGCTGTCCTCTGATCCACAGTGGAAAAAGCTATATGACAGAGGACTGAGAGAGCATAATTATGCCTCACTGTGAAAAGGGATGCTCCCCTACTGGGCCAAGTGGAAGACATGACAGCAGTACTGGGACTTTATCAGGCTGCATGACACTGTTTTGGAATGCCAACAAATATAAACACGTAATTACATGCACAACACATGATTCAAGCATGCTTCAGTGAGAAAATGTGAAGAAACATTGTTTCCTCCTCAGTGATCTAAGATGCATTTCTACTTTACCAGGGGCACATGTTACGCAGCACAAGGGAATTTGAAAGGATGTTACTTCATAAAAACAACTCTATTTTAAGAGATGGAATACAAATCATTACTCACCAATCTATGTGGCAGACTCCACTAAGGGACAGTTTACTAATGTTTATTACAGGATGGTGACTTTCTCCTCATGTTTTAATAAGAATAAAATCAAAATCTTATAGACTCTATAGCTCTGCAAATTGCCAAAGTGAAATAAAAATAGAACTGCTTAAGACCAGGGGATGAAATGAACTGCCTCTCAACTTCTGAGAAGTACTGTTTTAGTCTCCCACTACCACAGTGGTACTTTTTAGTGGAAAACTGTGATTGATGGATGTCTTCCTTTGACTTCATTGCCACATCTTCATTCTGCTGTTAGAAAGCTAATGAATTTCTAAAGAAGTACAGGTGGGGGGAAAAAACCAGCTGAAAGCATCTCATCTCTTCTAACTGGCTGTTGGCTAAGCCACAAAGACTTGAGGCTATTGATAAATATGATGGAGGCAGAAAGATGAGAGCATTTTATTATTTATGCCATTGGTTGCAAGCATATCATTCCCAATAAGTATATCACTTTCCCAGTTCTGGACACCTTTCTTGATATGGCATGAGTTCCTGAATGAGGATCTATGCCCACTACATGACCCTAAAGATACAGTCTGCTCCAAACACATCTGCCATGACCTTCAGGTCTCTGTGTGGCTGTAAGAGACACACACTGATCCAACAAAACACCAAACTTGATTAGAAGTAGAGCTCAGCCATGACTGGTGATGCTGGACACTAATGGAATATTCTGCTTTACTCATTCTCCACGCTCATTTAGGGATATCAGTGTTGACAGAGGTTATTGCTTTCCTCATGCCAGGCTCCTTCATGGCTGCAGAAGCTATTAGAAATCCACATTTACTTTACACTATGGATTTCCTTATTTTCATGGACTGGAAAATTCTCATTTAGCAACTATAATATGTGACCAGCAATTTTTCAACAACTTCAGTCTCATCATGCAGTACTGTCTGCCAGGGTTAATCATGATGAGGCCTCAAGTATGACTAATTAAATTCTGAACTTTATAGCTGTTTTTTAAATCAAATTTTCCATTCTAAATACATTTATTATAACTAGTTAAGAAGACATAGTAATAGCTCCAATTCTGATTTATCTTGAAATACTTATTTACTATTGTGCAACTTGCAAAAGTTACACAAAAGTATGTGAGGATAAGGGTAAGATGGGTCTGATCAAATATCATATAATTTATATATTAAAGACATTCTATCTTACATCCATTTGGTATTTCAAGCATATCTTTTAAAGATTTTTTTTTGAGAAAAAAAAGAAGCAGAGCAACAAACAACTCAAAGCAGTAACTATAAAAACAGATTGGTCATAGTCACCCTGATAATTTCATTCAAATTTTGATTATGGAGAAATTCCTCTCCAAGAAGATAGGAAATTTCTCAAAATTTCACAGGCATATTGAAATTCTGTGAAAAGACCTAGGTTTTCTGCCACAGAAATTGGAAACGGTATTGTTTGAATAATGGAAATGGAAACTTCCTAAAATGACCTTAACATCTATTCACAAAAAGTAATACAAAACAGTGGATTCATAAGAAAAAAGAATCAACTTTCTATAACTGGCAGAATTAACAGCACAAAGTTTTTATCACTTATATTTAACGTAAGTATAGAGTACAACATATTTTAGATGCAGATTCTTTGTCTTTCAGTAATAAAGGAAAGGTTATGTGCATATTGTTTTCAGTTTGACCAGCATTTTATAATGCATTAATTCACTGCTTAATAATAGCATTTATAGAACTAATAATCAATTAGCTGAAATGCACTTCTAGTTCAGTTGTCCTGATTACTGTATTTTGTGAATAGACATCAAATTTATCTCTCCTCAACACCTATGTGAAAATGATGTCCTTCACTAAGAATTTAGTGGGATGAAAGCCTCTTATAGGTGACACGAAGTGGAATGAGAAAGGGTGGGAAACACAGGGAGTAAGGTTGGATAAGTTAATCACAAGGATAGAGGAAGAAAGTTAATCCACCTTGGAAACACAGTGCACTATCATTGTTGTTAGTTGCATCCATGTCTGGAAAAGAGGCACTAAGAGGTAATCTTCCACAATCATTCTGGTACAGTGGACAATGGATAGCACCATCTTGAGGCAGTGGATGAAAAGGCTGGTGCGTGGGACTCTTTTTCAGAGCTTTAAGAGATGAATTCCTTTCTGGAATGTCTGGAAGCAGCTCAGTAATAAGTCTGTGTAATATACTGTTGTCGGGCAAGCTTCCCCGCCTTTTTTCAGCTTTAATTTGGTCACAGATGTCTTTAAGTGCAGAATCTAGTGCTTCAAATACAGATGACTTGCATTTTTTCTTTTCAGTGTGTTTTTTAGGAGCTGCACTTTTTTTCCTCCGGAAAGGCACTGGACTGACTAGGAATGCTATCTTAGAGAGGCCAGACTCTGCTTCCTGTCTCCTGGGATCTTCAGTGGTTTCTTGCTTAGCCCTTTCATGTTTTAGCATGGTGGTGAAGCGGGTGTAGGATGCTGGGCATCGCCCTTTGCAGGAGCTGATGAGATGCCTGTGGTGGTGGTGATGGTGGTGGTGGTGATGACCTGATCCATAAAAGCTTTCAGAAGATGTGAAGGAAAAGTGATCAAAGTCACTTTCACTACAAAAGGATGAACCCTCTATCTGGATAAAGTCACTGAGATCAGAAACCACTCCATCTTGATCGCTGTCTGAAAAATCTATATGTGAACGTTGTGGCTCATCACTGGTCACTTCAATATGAATTGGCACCAGGGTTTTAGACTTGTAATTCCGTTGTACCTGAGAGGGATGTCTGACTGGTGTTTCTTCTTCCAGCAAGGATTCGATAGAAAATCTCCTCTTTGGACACAATCCATTTTTAGGAGGCTCTAATGTAACAGCTGACAACATGTCATCACCAAGGTTCGGCATCGATTTTGACTTCTGAATTAACTTTTCAAATTCAGATATTCTGGTTGGCACCATGTCTCTGGGCACCTCCTCAGTAGAAGATTCTCTCCAGCCTTGAAGAATACCTTTGTGCTGTTCTTTTTCATACTGCAATATTCTGGACTTCACAGAACAAATCACCTCAGAATTCATCAAGTCCTTGCGATTGATGCGGTGCATCTTTTTGTACATCTTCAGGAAACCTGGAGCATCGTGTGCAGATCTGTGACGAACTCTTGACCTACCACTACTACGGCCCTCAACATATGGGGAGTTCCAGTTCATTGAGCAAATGTCTTTGGAGTYCTCCTCACATAACAGAGAGCCCATGCTTTCAGCCTTGGCCTGTGCATCGGGATAGCTATCGCGATCATCTGTTAGCAGGTCATCGCAGCTACGAGATTTCCTCTTTGGAGAAGCACTTTCCTCTGTGCTGCTCCAGACTTCTGCATTTTGGCGAGTCATTTGCCAGCCATTCTTGTAGTTGGTTGTCCTTCTTGAATCATTTGGAACAGCTAAATGCTGTCTGTAAGTGCTACAGTAATCTAATTCACTTGAGGTGTTGTGGTTGTGCACTGAGTAACTTAAAAGGGATGGGTATACTTTGCTAATATCCCCACCTTTATAATCCATAGAGCAGCATGGTAAAAAAGAGACATTGCCAGAAATTAAAAGATTCAGAAAGTTGGAATTAGCATCAGTAAGTATTAGAAAGACTAGAAAAGAGAGAGCAATTAGTGAATCTATCAGCTTAGGTCAGTACATCGTTAGTTACAGCCTAGGACAGCAGAGCTAGTAATTATTTTCCAGCTGCAAAAATGCACTCATGATAATTTGAACAACAAAAAGAATTCCTTATAAATTATGGAGATATTATCTCCTCCACAACCCTCACTATCAAAGCAACATAAGAAACCAAGCATTAATTGGGGACTGATTGGGATTTTTAAGCAGGTCAACAGACAATAAAACCTGCAAAGGATTTAAAGATGAAGCCAAATGACAAATAGGGAAATACTGACTTTTCTACCTCTGCATTTTGAAAGAAGTTGTTTAGGATTTTTAACCTGTATAATTCTTAGAGCTCACAGCATATGTATATTCTAAGATAGTTAAAATAAAGACAAATGTTTATATCAGATCAAATAGGAAATCTCTCCCAGTTGTTCACAGATAGCCTGCTCCTTCCCTGTGTGATAGCACTGAGGGGCGTGCTGTTCTGCCTCTGTGAACTCTTTCCTGGAGAGATGTGGACAACAGTAATAGAATGGTGACTTACTTGAAAAAAAGAAGCTAATTAGATTGTATCAGCTGTACTAAATACTTCAAGGATTTACAGTGAAAAATCAGACTATGGATGGTTTCTTGATTAATTTAGGTCCTGATAACTATGGAGATTTGCTTGATTACATTAGGACCTGACAACTGACAATGTCTAAGACATCAACTATGGAAACATATATTTAATCTTACAGGTTATTAGTCTTGATTTACTTTCTCAGTATAATAAAACCAATCTAAAAATCACAATAATAAGAGAGTAGGAGTTAATAAAAATTTATGTGTTTATATGTTGTGGTAGAGTTCAAAGTCTTCATTTAGACCATCTTCCCTCGTTAGAATGAGCAGCTGAAACTGAATAATCCTCGTTACAAATCCAGCTTTTCATCTTAAAAGTAACAAGAATAAATAAGTTAAGCTTTTATGAAAGGCCCAAAGCTGTTGCATCACAGGGGCACTTGCTACCAAGGTAGTACAAAATATCATCAGTAGTTTTCTGCTAACAAATACGGTCTCCTCTTACCTTTTGCTCTTGATGGAGAAGAAGGAGATGAGCTAGTTAAAGGCTTCCTAAGGGTGGGACATGGGCCCTGTGTGTCTGTCCGGCCCAGGTTAGGTCTGTTTGCATTCTGGTCACTGTGTGCCCTCTGATGACTTACAGCAGGTTCTGACTTCCTTCGCTTTCTGTAGTCACTTGCAGTACTTGCAGAACTACAGAAAAAAGCAGTATCAGTAGCAGTCTGACTCTCAGATCAGAATTCAGGAATTTAAGAAGTAAGGTCATAATTATATAATCAATTTATTGATTAAAAAATGCCAGAACAAATACATGAAAAACATGCAAAGTGAAGACGAAATCTTTCAACCTGCTTCACAGATGTAGGTGAAAAGACGAATTTGTTCTTAACCCGATTAATGTTTTAAAGTTTTACACAAAATTAGTACACTGTTTTCTTTGACAGAAATGCATCAAGTTTTCTTAAGAGAACTTTTTGGAATTAGAATTTCAGTGCAAACATAGGAAAAAGACAGACTGAGAACAGTCAAGGCAGCATGCTCAGGCAAACAGCACTGAAGGTGCTGCAGGCAGTAAGGGTAAAGGATAAATCACTGCCACTGAGAAAGAAGCCCAGGGATGTTAGTGGAAAGCCCCAGAACAGAGCATGGCTTATCTACTAAAATAAAATCCACACATCAGCATCAAAATTAACACCCTTTCCAAGCACCTATTTCATCAGTAGCTCACATTGTGAATGCTAAAATCTGACTCCTCACAAAATCTGCTGATTTCAGGTCCCAAAGAAGACCCTCAGGAAGAATAATCTGCTGAAATAGTAGATAGTATTTCTTACCTAGAGGGCCTGTCCAGGCCTCTGTCTGTTGAATAGTGATGATACAAGGAAGCCTGCAAAAACAAATATGTGGATCTGTTTGTATTTGAAAAAAGAGTGACAATTTTTGCTTATGTTTGATGACTCTTTGTTACTCTGTGATAAATCCTGTAACAACAGCCCATAATGATTAACACCCTGGGCACTCCATCACACACACTGCAACATGTCACGAGAATAAACTATGCAGCYTTTTATTGCTAGATTTCATTTCCTCTTCTATTTCAGTAATATTTTTTCCGTTAAAACACTGATAATGATACTAAATCATGCTCTTCTATACACTTTTCAAAATCAGACACAGAACAGCTGGAACAAATCTTTACCACAAAACCACAAAAATCTCAAAATAATTCCTTTATGTTTAAGTGAGGTCTGCAAAGCTTCTCCATACCCCCCAGTTACCAAAATCCCACAATTATAGCCAGAAACTTCTGTGAATCCCATGATGTTTGTGGCCAGCAATTGGTCTTATACACCTTATAATCCTGGTAAGAACAGTTCTTATCACAGAACATTAGTCATTAGTCATGGAGTTACAGATGTAGCTACTGCATGAATACTGGGACATGGAACTTCCAAAATTATATTATTAATACAAGGTCAACCTTAAATGACTACTAATTTTAAATCAGCCATTTAAAGCCTTCAGTCAGAATTAAATAATACTACAATTCTGGTAACCAGGTATGAATCTAGAATGAACTGTGTGGTCCCAGGGGTATTTCTTCATGGATACAAAGCAGCATGGTTCAAGAGTTAAACTTCTTTCAAGCTCCTGGCATGTCATTTCACAGCTAACCCAATGGACTATCATACAAATTACTACAATGCAGGAAATATTTTCCCCGTATAGAGAATCTTCTTGGCTTTTTCCCTGCATGGAAAAGTCTTTGTACTGAAGGACTAAAAAATATTGGCCTGCATAAGTCCTTTCTTTTGTTAAATTTTTTTCTCCAGTGATTTGATTTGCAGGTTCGTGAATAGAACTTCACCCAGATTTTTTAACTGACACTTAGGTATACCTACAGAAGTCACCCACAGTCTTGGAATATTTGGGAACAGATTTCATAGGACTATGCATTTTTAATGACATTTTAGAGTAATTGCTTAAACTGCTTTCATAGGTGGGACACTAGAAAGACAATATGAGGTGTTGAGTTAGAGCTCATTTGCCAGTTGGCTTCGTTATTTATGACCTGCATCACATACCAAGTGACCCCATCAAGACATTAACTGAAGCTTTAATTTTTGTAGTATACTAAAGTTCGTTATACTGTGGGACAGGGAGAGCCACACAAACCTGCCACAATATGAAACAAATGTAATTAAAACTTGGGCTAAGGTAATTCCAATTTAATTTGAATGTAATTCAATTAATTTATTATTTTATTAAATTTAAATCACATCCTACTCAGGTAAAAAAATCTGACTTCTGGAAAGAATGGCACCTCAGGTGTAAACAGTTAAAATACGTTAATAATTCAAAGACTTTAAAATTAATTTATAGAGAATGTAAGTCTTCTAAAATATATTTCAAGTGACTTCTGAATAAGGTTAAAAAATGTGTATCTTTTGTTAAAAGTAAGTTCTTTGTTTTGTGAGCAAATATTTATGTTTTTCTCCTGTGCTACTACTTATTGCTACTACTGTTCTCACTGTTAAATACTGTTTTGTTCCTAAATTCCAGTTTGGATCAGAATGACATGCTGTGTAATCTCAAAGGTAGAATCCCTCAAGTCATCTTCACCTGCATCTCTTTTACAGTGGAGAATGACAAGCATGCAAACCCCATCATGTGCACCACAAGAGGAAGAAGAAAGGGGCATCAAAAAATACCAAAGGCCATTTGTCCCCCTGCTAGGGATTGCTATTATGTTCATTCTTTGCAAATTATCGTGTCCTCAAGCCATGCTCAACTGCTTTTTCCAGGCTGTGCATGGGAGATCTGCACACCATGTGGGAATGAAGCTGGTGAAGTTGGGGGACATCACCCCGTTCTCACGAACAGGGAAATGCACGTCAGTGATGTCACGGGGCTCTCCCACTGCGAGGCGTCCCCAGCATTACTGATCTGTGCCCAGCTTCTCTCAGATGTTCCCACCAGTAAAGGCTTGCCTCACTCCCACAAGGATGCTCCCTCTGCCACCACCTTCTGGGCAGTGGTGCCCCACAGAAGCTTTTTTCCATGATGGGAGAGCACACAAGACTGTGGCTTATGACAAAGCCTCTTGTTTTCAGTTGCTAAATTGGCTAAAACCAATTTATTTTTCTGCAAATAAAAGTGAAGTTATTTCTTATAAGTTTTCATTTCCTACCAAAATATAGATTTCAAGGYTTTTTTTTTTTTTTTTTTTTTAAATCATCATTGCATTGTTCTTAGGTGATAAATAAACCATTTATGACACCTTAATGTGAAACTGATCTGAGGATGTGAATGTGAAAAGCAGAAACAGATACTTGTAATATTCCAAATACTGTAACCTAACTCATAAAATTAGTGAATTTAAAGATTAGAGAGAAGGGGCACAGTAAAACAAAAACCATACCTTCTGCTGTAGAAAAGGAGCAAAGAATCAAACATCCTTTCCATAAGCAGATTAAATACAAGCCTGAGTTTTGATCCCAGTTGTGTTACAGAGGTAATGCTGATGATCACCAGATATTCTCAAACAATAAACCTCCCATCAGCACCTAGGAAATTATCCCTATTTTATTTCTCAATATCTGGAACATTCATTGGGCTCATGATGAGTGCACTACTGATCACCTCTTCAGTCCAAACAAAATATCATGCTAATAATCTTTTAAAATACTTTGTGAGGAAGATACTTATTCCTGAGTCTTTAATGTTCATACAGTCCATATTTTCAAGTTTTTCTTTACATCCTCTGGAAAGTGGCTGGAAGGCTGGAAAGTACTTTGTGACAATTCTCCCACCACACTCCAAATTCAATAATTTTAAGATATATATCCATATGTGAGGTCTGTCTGCACTAAAACTACAGAAGCCAGACACAGCATAGCTCACACCAATAGCCAGTATAACCACAGCAAGCAAAGGCCTCACGTCTCTGTGCTTCCCTACCCATAAAACACACATTCAGCCTATCCTGGGAAATGTTCCAGTCTCATTTCAAAGCTGGCCACAACCATCTTCCTCCTCTTGACCAGTCACTGCCACGGTGTGGAACCAGCAGAGGAAGGAAACTCGGGACCACAGGTGATGTCCTAGAACAGTTGCACAAGGTGGTACAAACAGTGCAGATAAATTGTCATTGTGGGCTCTTCTGCCAACCCCTTCCACCACCAACCACCTGTGATGTGACAGTGGCCAAAGGGCCCTGAGGCAGTGGTTGCCTCCCACCACTTGTAGTGGCTCCAGGGCTGCACAGACCATGGTGTCACTCCCAAGGGTGGAGCAGATCCCCACTGTCTCCTATGGAAGGGTGTGGGTAAATCACAGAGTGGAAATCACACCAGAGGGAACATTATCCACAGCATTCCCAGGCCATAAACAGAGTGTTAGTGATCAGCCTAGGATGACAAGAAGTTGCAAGAAGCCAAAATTGCTGGGTTACACTATATGGCTTTGGCTTTTCATCCTTTAAGATTATTTCATCACCGTGAATGTAACCTGCCCTTTTATCCTTTATTTGATGCTGGCTTTGAAGTTTTTTTCTATATGGCAGATCCTGTATGTTGCCCATTCTACAATACTAATTTTTACCATAGGCATACATTATTTTTATAGAATGTGTGGAGTTTCTACCTTCTCCCCATAGGCAGAGCTTCACTGATGAGAYATACAGAGGGAAGGTATGAAATAAACACTGGATGTGGTTGTTTTTTACTGCTTGTTTTACTGTTTACAGCTGTCCTGTCAGCTCTTGGGCATTTATTGACCCACTTTAGATGGCCCAACTGAACACATCTCTCCTACTCCCCCATCTCCAAAGATAATTAAGTCATCTTTCAGAATATTCAGCACTTCTCTATATGTACAAAGGCCACGTGAAAAAAAAAACAAAAAACCCCCAAACATTGGAGATGACAATTCTAAAGTACCAAATACAGACTTTTGGGAATACTTTGGTTTTCTTTTACCAAAAAAAAAAAAAAAAAAGAGATATATTTAAATTATGCCTGTGTTTTAGCTGTTTTCATGCATCAAGGCTTTAATAGTGACTGAAAATGAAGCTAGGGAAAATAGGCAGAAGTTGCAAATAACAAATAGGCTTGTTTGCATGATGGTTAAAATACTTTATCAACTTATTTTGAATAGTCTCCCCCTCAGGAGAGGGGGAGAAATATTAAATTGCTGTAGTTTTTGAACATGTTTTATTATATTCAAAAACTATTTAAATTTCAAAATTAAATACAGAAGTTTTCATAAATTAATCAAAGAGAAAACCAGTGTTGCTTAATAACTATTTTACCCAGACCTACTGAACACAGGAATATTTCAAAGAAATGTTAGGGCTTTTTAATTGCCTTTCTTGATATATTGAAAACCAACAGTAATTAGAAAAGGCCTAGAAGCTTATTGTTTCAGAGAACTGGGCCCAAATTTCACAACTATGAGGTTTTTCCAGATATATAGAGCACTTACAACCAAACCAGAGTACTTTACAAACAATTAACAATTTAAGACCACAATTTGAGTTTAACTTTTGGAGAAACTATAGAAGATGAGAGTGAATCATAAATATGAATGAAGTAAAGCCACCATATGAAGCAAAGTTGTTATTAGAGGATTCACTGACTTTTGGCCTAACACTGCAAAAAGGGGCAGGGAGTGGAGAAGGAATGAAAGCCTGAATCTCTCCCACTCAGAGTAGGGCAGTAACAGCCCACTAACCTGACCTTGATGAATTTTACTTGGAATAATGACAGCAACTGTCAATCCTGAGTTATAAATTAAAACAGGACGATTAATTGCTGTTTAACCTGATGAGAAACCTTAGTAATAAATGCTTAACTGGAGAAACAACAGTTTAGCCACAAAGGTTCACCTGACACAAAGAATTTGCAGTCAGGTATTTTAATTAGGAAATCCATTGTGCTGATGGATTAATTGTGCAAGGCAGCTCTGAAAAGTGGGAATTTGCCAAAGAGTTAGAGACATATGGACTGTTGTGTAATTCTGGGTGTAAATCTCTGAGAAGTTCTGGGGACAAGGACTCACAGTTCCTAGGATAATAAGATCAACATCCCAATGCACTAGTGATCTGGAACAATACGAAGACAAAGATACAATCCTTGTGAATTAGAAATGTCTCACAGCTATCAGAAGGAAACCACTAAGTTTTAACAAACTTCAGACATAAACGGTGATCATTCCAACCCTTCTTCCCAAGAGAATCGTCTAAAAAAGAACCATTCATTTACCTCATTGGAAACACCAGAAGAACTGTCTTGAACATAGTCCAAAAGCTTTTTAGGTGGCTGCATCATAAAAGCAGAAGTGTAGAGATGAAATGGAGTGGAATCAATGGCAGCAAGGAATGAAACATGTGGAAAAGGTGACACAGTTAGAAATCAAGTGTTGACAGCGTCAGATACAAAGAGTGACACACATGGGAAGAATGGAAGGATAAATGTGTTATTTTTAAAATATCCTAATAAAATGTTAGTAACTTTAGGTGGTAAAATCTACAACTGAAATGGTTGAATAAACACCACCAGTTTTTAATAGGGAGAGAGAAGAGTGTAAAGCATCACAGTTATGCTCTGTTGGAGGAATCTCAATATATTTTATCTCAAAAGTTATCATTATCAGTAAAATATTGTTGAGATATCGTTCATGAGAAGAATTTATCTGTACTGTTTCTGCCCACCTACAGGGAAGAATGACAATACAACTTGAATGGCTGGATAATAGAGATAAAAAGTAATCCATTAAATCCATGAAAATGTGATACATTATAGACCAATGAACAAGAAATTAAACCCAGATATATTTAACTCTTTTTTTTTTTTTTTTTTTTTTTTTTTTTTTTTTTTTTATTTTTAGAGGGTATTCAATGGGTAATTTTTTAAAATGCTATGATTAAAACATTACTGTTTTAAAAGATCGTATGTGTTTTGTTTTCTCTTCTGCTCTCACTGAAGTAGTGGGGAGTTCTGATTTTGGTTTTTGGCTAGCTACAGAAAGGGACTAAGGTGCCTGACTCCAGAGTGTCCTCCCAGGCCCTGTGTCAAGTGCTCAGGCTCCTCATGTAGTCTGGCACGTCACTAATTAAAATGCTGAGGGGCCTCCAGAGAATTGTTAGCTAACAGGGAAAGAAAACAATGGGAATATTTTAAATACTGATACTCTCAAACTCAGGTCTATTTTGGATTTCCTGCCTGTGGCCAGATACTTCAGTTTTTGAACTCAAAAAATTTTGGAGGGTATCCTGGGGGAGCTATGAGAATGCTTCAAAATTCTGAGAGAAAGCTTCAGTTTACTTCCCTCCTTTTTCAAAGGGGATTTTAACTTGTTTTCCACCTGTCTGGATATTCTGACTATCCTCTTAGACATTCTTCTGGGATGAAGACATGCTGTCCTTTTCTCTGAAGATGTTAGAGTGCACAGGAAAGAATTTGAGCTCTGTGGAGCTAGAGAGAGGGTGTGCCAAAGCGACAGCAGGTGCATCTCCAACCCAGTTGTTAAAGCATTGTGCAGGGAGGAAGTGAAACCTAGTTCTCAGTCTTGCTTCAAGGACAATTTTACTGTTTTACCCTCATAAAAAAATATACAAACAGCCTTTGGTCCTTGGATACAATTAAGCCTGTGGAACTCGCAGAAGAACTGCAAATGCTTAAGAAATCAAAGGTGAAAAATGGACATATTTCTGATTTTTAGGTGTTTCAACCACATGAAACTCTTCAGGTTTGTAATTTTAAACATAAGCACTTGCAGCAGGTCTAAGGCAGCATCTCTTTGCCAGAGCCTTTTTTTGGGTAATGGCTATTTGTGAAAATTGGAGCAGAACTGAACTCTTGGTTCAAACATGTGTCCAGCTTGAAAACAGAGCAAGCCCATACTCTGTGTTCAGGTACAAAATACGTATTCTGTATGTATGCATAGAGGAGATGAAAAAAGGGCAAAAAAAATTCTCAGTATTTCCTGCTGTAGGAAATTTGTTTAGGGCTTCATACATTTAAATTTAGCTATAGTCCTTTAAGAAAAAATGCATGATTTTTAACTTAGTAACCCCTAATGCAATCTGACATATTTTTCTGTCCTAAAAGATTATTAAAAAATAAACCAGCCAAATGTAAAAAAATTAGGGAAACTAGAAAACATCCCTGCTTATGATGGAATTTGTCTTGTTATTAAATACTTACACACTACAGTATGTCTAATACATACTCCTTATTAAAGCAATTTCTATAACTACTCTAGCAAGTTAAGAGTCTACTTGACAAAAACACTTATATTCATGGTACTTCAATGCCCTTCCTCAAAAAAAAAAAAAAACTTACACTAATTTTACTCACATATACTTGCTGAATTTGGTAATTCAAACTCCTCATTCTAAAAATATTTTTTCCTAATGTGTAAACATCATTATTCTGTCCTCACTTACCGGACGTCCAAATTCCAGCTCTGAAAAGAATTTATACCAGGGTTCGTTTTCTAAATCTATGTCATCTGGGTTTATGCGATCAGTCTGGAGCAGTTGTGAAGGAAAAGGGAAGGAAAAGGCATACACTGAGCAAAGTGCTAGAAATGCTATGTCACTATAACAACAAACACACAAAAACATAAAACAAATACGGGGAAAGAAATGGAATAAAATCAAAGAATGAAGATGGTATTTAAGACAGAGAATATTCTTGTTCAAGAGCAGTCATTGATTGGTAGCTTTAAGGCTTTTCTTTTTGTTGATGTTCTTCCACGGACTGGAAGATGTTACGCATTTTATAATTACACTTTTAAAGCTAAGAGGACTCTTTGACCTTTTCTTTAAACATCGCTGCATTAGTTAAGAACATTTAATGATGCTAAAAATTCCTTGTTAGAAAGATGGTTTAAATTATTGTCTTCTCCAGCATAGGCAGAATTTGCCCATTTGACTAGCAATAAAGACACAGTTTTATCTGTATTGCTTTCAGTCATTCTTTGTCTTCTCACAAAGCATGTTAATTCTGAATCTTGCTGTCTTGAAGCAAGCACTGAGCAGAGATAAAGAATATGCCTCATGCAAACATCACCATGTTAAAAAGCCACTTCAGCACATGAAAAAGAACTGGTGTATTTTCAATCCTATGGTCAAAATATAAGGAACAAAAAAAAAAAATTATGCATTCCATAATATTCATTTCAGCAGTACTGTGAAATGCTTTATCTCACAAAGCGTTGTTGACAAGCATTTTTTTCCACAGTGAAATACATTGTTTTCATCCAAAAATTCTCACAGTGAAGGGATAAAGTAGCAATTGAAGATAGAATTAAGGAAATTCTTCAGAAAATAGAAGAATAATTGACAGATTTATTCAAGGAGCATGAAAACATGATGGTGCAAAACAGTACAGCTCTCAATGGGATATCTAATCAATTGTAAACTTGGCTGCATTAATTACTTTCTAAAAAGCTTCAGTTGCTTTGTAGCATCTGATGTAGGCTCTCATGCAGCACAATTATAGTTGGCTAAAGATCTCTGAAACAGAGAAATCCTCTTGTTAAAGACAGTTCTAAATTTAAAATCTGGTTCTCCATAACAGTAATTGTCAAAACCTAGCCACTAATTATGGTGTGCCCTACAAAGCAATCATCAAAGAAGAGAGGGTCCTGGATAAAGAATAATACCGGTGATCATGTATATAATGCTTTTTCCTCTTGGAGCCACACTGCCACCAACACACCAGAGCAATTAAATGCAACTATTCCTGTTTTCTGCAAGAGATAACACTGTGCTCCCGACCATTTCAGGTAATCAAACATCTTACAGCCCTTTTCTTGCTCCTTTTGATGTTACTGGGACAGCCTGCCAAATCTGCTCTATTGGAAGGTCAACAACCCTTCAGAACTCCCTTGGTGCTCACACATCTGTGAGGTGTTCGTGCAATATCTGGACCCCAATTGTTTTATCTTCACAGTGTCCTTTCAAGTCAGGGAAGGAGTATTCCTGTGAATGGAGAGGGAAGTCAATGCCACAGATGCAGACTTGCTGTGCTCCACAGCAGGGCTAGGAAGTGAAGCTTCTTTGGAGTCTTGTCCTTCCATTTCCACCATCCACAGCCGTGTCTCAGCAGTACAAATCACAAGTGATTGAACTCAACTATAGACGCATAAGTCTTTAGTAGAAAAACACTACTGAAATTAGTTTTATTAACTAATGACTACTAAAAATGTGTGAATTTAATAGAAACTATGACTAATTTCAGAAAAAACACAGGATTCTCTTCTATAGAGATATAAAGGCATGAGGGCAAAAAATGAGAAATTCACAGCACAGAATATTTTGCTGTATATTGAGTTGATTCTCATTACAGAGAATGCTTGGTGTATTTAAAGGTTTTTTGCTTACCTTAAAAAAAAATCCACAATTTATATCTGGATAATGTGAGAAGATATCACTAAACAATTATTTTCCATCCTTTCTCCAAACCAAGTTACTGTAGGTTGAACTATTGTATGTTTTTACCTTTACATTCTTCCAAAAAAAAAAAAAAAATCACAGAAATGCCAATATCAACTAATGGGTGTATTTAAATAAAATAAATAAATCAACCACTTGAAATTTATGTAGTGTTGGAATTGTGAAGCTTTTGGCACCAGAAATCCCGGCCTACTGACATTACTTGCTTGGGCAGCGAGTGCCAGCCTTGTGAGCCTCAAGGTGCCCTGAAGAGCAGCAGCCCCACAGCCACACAGTGACAGCCCCATGTCCCTCCTTGCAGGGATGCAGAACCCTCTGACAGATCAGTTGGGCTCCCCCCAGCCAAACAAGGAGATAAAAATGAGAATGGGAGTTCCCTCCCTTTTCCACTTCAAATACTTTTGCAATTAGATGCAAGATTAAAAACACTCCTATTTCTGCTGCTACAGAAAAAGCCAGAAATAGTGTATTTTATCGAGTTTCTAAGTTTTCAGTCCTTCTCGTGTAGCAGTTGCAAATAAAATGAGACTGTAATAAGTATGTAAGCTAACTCCAGTCAGACAAGTCCCACTTTAATTTACAGCTTCAACCGCAGAGGGCAGCAAACAAAAAGAAACTGGGCACTGAAATCTTCAAATTCTCTGCTGCCAGGCATTTCTGGAGAGGGCTGCACTGCCTGTTCTACCCAGATCAATATGCAGGCAATTGATTTTGCTTGAGGAAGCAGTTTTGCTGACAGACCTTTTTGTATTATCTCCACTTCTAAGAGACTTAAAAGGAATGAACCATTTTGACGTAAAAGCTGCATTTGTGTTCATCTCACAAAGTATGTCCCAAACCATTAGACTAGAAAGTAAAAGCAATAAAGGAAAATCCCTTTTTATGACTTGTCAATCAAGTAATGTCCCTAGAATCTATTAATCTAGTAATTCAGTAATATTTTGATTACTTGTTGAAAATATACTACTAAAGGCCACTAAGGAACTTCACTCCTTTTGCATCAGATGGTCAACACACCCCTGCATCAGCATACTCAAGCACAGGAAAACATGGACAATGAAAAAAATTACATCTGTAGTGTTACATGTAGCTTTGCCTGTTCTTGGTTTGACACACTAATAAACATTCACAGGTAATCAACAGTGTGCATTTAAACCCATGAGTTAAATGGGTCTGACATGTGGATCAATATTTTGCATTTGCAAGTTCAGACACCCAACTGAAACCTGTCTGGAACAATGGGCTGAGATGCCACTGTGAATTTGATTTTGGCATTTTATTATCTCTAAAGAATTTGCTTTCGCTTTTTCCTTTTTTTTTTTTTTTTTTTTTTTTTCCTTCTGGATTACTTTTTAATAGCTGTGGTAGCTCCAAGCCTACTAACAGATGGACTTAGTCTCTATTTCTTTAGGAGAAGAAATTTTTTTTTTAATGACATACTAAGCATACCAAGCAGAATATTCTGATAACCAGCTTGAGATGTCTAAAGCAACCAAATGTGCATATTCTAAAGAAAATTTTACATTTTTCACTACAGTTAAAACCAAACCAGAAAACAACAGATGTACATCATGGAGCAAGTCCAGTCTATCTCTGGTATTTGACAAAACAGTAACTTTTTAAAATTTAGTTTAATCCTGTATTCTTCTTGTATATAAACTCAGAAGAAAATTTTTATGTTGAACAGGGATTAAAAACCGTAGAACTAAAATCTAATGTCACAGCTTTATCTAACTTGCACATGTATACTTTTATGCTTAGACTAAAATGAAAGTAGAGGCATTGTTTGTACCAATTCAATGAAGTCTTTTCTTACAGTAACACTGAGGTTTTTCTTCACGTGCTCTACTACAGAAATAGATACATGTACATGTGAGAAGAAGTTGCTTCTCATAGACAAGACAGAAACTAGTAAATAATAAAATTTAATTCATTTACACATGAGTAAGATTATGTTGTTACATTGCAATTTACTTATCAATGGAAAGTAAACATCCATTTTAGGGAACAGGTCCATGGCTTGGATGATATTGGAGAAAAAGAATATTTTGTTGAATTGCAGACACTGGAGATGGAAACATACATCAAAACAACTTATGTGCCACCTTATCAGTGTTGTTGTTAGAAGAAAAAGTAATGTTTTATGGGCTTCTTGAAACGGGGAAGAAAAAGGAGCTCTATCACCATGTCTTGCAGGACTAATACCTTAATATCACATACTGTTAGCTGTAAACTCAAAAATATTAATCCCAAACCTCTCCTTTTTGCTGATGTTTTATACTCTTACAAATTCAAATTATGGAAGAAAACACAATAATTTCCTGTTTCATGAAAGAGGCTACTACATGATACAGCAGTTTGAAATTACACTCATCCTAGCCTCTTGTCCTAACAAAGACAATCAGTTATCCCTAATCAATCCATCCATTTGACATTTGTTTCTAGGTCAGTATTTTAGTTTGTTTTTGTATTTCTCACATTGTTTTGACTAATGAGGATCTTCTTTTGATCAGCAAAGATTTGCTGGATATTGTTTCCCACTAAATGTTAGTTTTACACCAAATCTCAATTTATTTTATTCTTCCCATGTTTCTAATCTCCACATTAATCACAACTGATTCCAGTCTAGTACCTACATCAATAAAGTGAATGCTGATCTTTCAAACCTGACTTGTCCTGCTTATTATGATACAAGGTAGCTGTAAATATTTTCTGTTTTTAACAGATTATTTTGTTACCAAAACTACAATCTTGCTGACATGGAAATTTTGTAATTAAAAAAAATTGGAGATTTGAAGTGTCAGAAAAACTCCCTTTGACTTGGTTTTCACACAACTAATACAGTATGATTTTCCAATTCAGATACTATAAATGCCCATCTTTTACAATATTAATGAACTGTATTTATTATATTCCACATTTTTATTAATACTTTCCCTTCAGTATTATCAAAACAATTTTTCAGACATTAGAAGTCAAATCTTTTAAAATTATCAAGATGGACGATTTAAATCATGCACTACTCACACATTTGAAAATTTTGAGTTTTCATCTGAATTTGGAACCCATGTCTTATTTTGAGATGTCAGCTTTTCCTACACACAATGAAAAAAGCTTCTGACCTGCATTGCTGATCATCCTTTAAGACGTTAGGTTTGTTTTTTATATCCCATTCAATGACTACAAGAAGAGAAAATGCTTCAGTGAAACCAAGTAATTTAGTAATATGGTCCAAAGGAAGTATCTGAAGCACATAAAGCTAAATACTGTCTTTACCTACAGCAGAAATTCCAGATTGATAAAACTGTGATTATCTCCCTTCACCTATTTTTTTCAAGTATGTTAGACTAGTGTCAGAATAACTTTCATCTCTTTTGTTCTACATTAATTTCTAATTTTTTACAGCCCTGAATCATGCATAAATAAAAAATCTCTCAATTCTGTACCTGAATATTCTTTTCTCAACTTTTAAAATTCCTTATATTAAGAGATGCCTCCTTGTTTGTTCATCAGCTAAGCCTAAACTTTTAGTCTAAGCTTCAGATGAAAAAGTATGATCTTGCCCTTGATGGGTACTGCATAATAGGTACAACATGACTAAAGCTTTTCTGCATGAAAATATTTTAAGGACCAAACAAAACTCAAAATTCCACCTCTTGATTTAGATTTGCAAAATTAAAATGCATAAGCAAGTGGAAAAAAAGGATTCAGGAACAGTCAGCAAACCTCACTTTTTTGTTATTTCATTGGTTTGCTAGGATTGAAAAATGTAGCTCGGATAATATTCATCAGCACTGCCATTCTTATATTAATTATTTTGTTCACATTAGTGGAAAATGTAATTTATTAGAAAAGTGAGACCATTGAAACATCAGCACAATTTTCTTATTTTTAACTTGAATCTGCTATTACTCTTTGGCATTGGGAAGGCTGGAAAATTACCTCAGTGTTTATAAATGCAGCCATGACTCTCAAAAAGTGCTCAGAACAAATGACATTGCTTTTAAACAAAATTATTTGTTAACTTCATCTGCACTCAGATACTAATTATATTGATTCCCTAGCAGTTCCTATAGAATGTAAATCTCCTCTCTGAAAAATTCATCAGTTCTGCAAGAACTTAATTTCACAGAAAAATAGCTTGGTGTTCTCTAGCTAACAAAAATTAGATTCATGCAAAGACCACAAAAACAAATGAAAACATGCTTGGTTCAGGTGTTTCACACTGTTGACATACTGCATATTCTGAAATTCATTTATTTCTCTAATTTGCTTTAAACTGGCAAAATAAATTGTGTGAACAAGCATGCTTCAGTACAGAAGCAAATAATAATCCAGCACTGATTACATAAACCTCTTCTTTAAAACTGGACTCCCTCAAACATTTCAACCTCAAGGTACAAGATCAAGAAAAGAAAATATTGTCATTGTTACCTAACAGTCTTTCTAAAATAAGAAAGTGTTAAAAATAAGACCACACAAAGCTAAATTAGAAGGGCTGGGTGAATGTGTCTTCAAGCAAATGAAAATTTCTGTTAATTGTCATTTTGCAAGCATTAAGCATAGCTTTATTCCACAATTGCAATCATTATTCAGAATGCAGGAATAAAGACCTCTAATTGCATGTTAATGTACACTCAATAATCACAGAGTATTTGAGGCTGGAAAGGACCCCCAGAGGTCATCTACTCCTGCTAAAAGTAGGTCTAATGAGATCAGTTTGCTCAGGACTGTGTTCAGATGAGTCTTCTTTGGACAAACCTTGGCCAGTATTTGACCAGAATCTCCCTAGGTGTACTGTTCAGCACATCCTGAAACCGTGAATAGTTTATTTTTATGCAAGAATTGATCAGATATCATATCTGCTATTAATCCTACTGAAAATAAGTGCTGGAGATGCATACCAATCAGGAAAAGCATTTTCCACCTGTTCTGCTCATCATCCCTGATGTTGGCACAGTGGTAACTTCTTGGAAACACCGGAAGATGTAAGTTTAGCAAATAAGCCAAAGACACATTTTCAACACAACCATCAGATAAGAGCAAAGACAAATTGCTGGAAAATTGTATTTGAAAAAGGACCTTCAATATTCCTGTAAGTTATTATTAGCAGGAAATAATGAAAAGATAACCTCTCACCAAACATCTTACTGTATTACCCATTCCATTTATGGGTCTTACCGGTCTTTCATGTTCAAGGATCGACGACTTTCCTGGCTCATACTCAAAAATACTTCTTGGTTCAGAACGGAACTTGCGAGTATCTACCTTTCTGTCAGGAGGATCCCAGTCATTCCTAAACAACAAACACAAGGAACTGAGCTGATTTCCTGTCATCACCACATGCTTTAAAGCTCTGTACAACAGCAACCTGCAAAGCCAAATGACACTCAGAACGGTTACTTTTTCCAGATCTCAGCTGTGGGATGTATAGAGGGGCATCCCAGTGTTTTACTGGGATATCTTAACCTGTTTACAGAAGGTATGCTCAGTACAGCAGGAAAAATACTAGAGATGGCTGGCCTGTAATCATACATATTTTTGTTTTAATTAGTCTGGTTTACTTACTTAAACCAGACTTCCCTGGTATGCCACGTCAAAGTACCAAGGCACTGCAAACCATTGCAAATAACCACATGTGTTTTGTGGACTCCACTAATATAGTCAAGTGGCAGATATTTTTTTATCACATAGTATGATAATAAAGCCATATTGAAAGTTATAAAATCTTCTAAGACAAAATATGAGGAATTATTTCAGAAGACAGTGTGATGGTCATTATCCTGATCTGCAGTAGAATGGCTCCTAAATATCCTTGTAAGCAGTATACTGTTTCCCTAGAACTTGAATAGATAAACAAGAGGAAGAATTTGGCAGTTGAATCTGGAACAGAAATGTATCAATTTTCTCTACAATTATAAATTTGCTTTCAATAGTGCTATGCAGAAAATAAAAAGTAATCCATGCCACTATATTTTTCAGTCATTTGCCATCTCATATTACTAGCCACCTATGCATTTTGGGGGAATAATTAGCTCGTTACAGTGAGATCCACCTTTTCATGGCAGTTCTTGTAATACTTTCCTCCACTGCTCTTGCAAAACTGTAGCTCACGCAAATTTTTATTTAACACTGTGCAAAGTGACCCACTAATGCAAAGTGACCCACTGGTAACTCAAACGCTGGAGGAAAAGAAGGGGAAATACTACCAGCTATTGTCTGTATTTATGATAAGAAGGACCACACACTGATTAAATTTCATCAGTTCTGTTGGTCTCTCTGGTGTGACTTGGTTTGATGTGACCTGACACCATAATGCGCATGTCATGTGCTTTAAAAAAATCTATGGGGTAGCTTTTGTTTGTAGTATGTAAGTGCAATTTCTGGGACACAGACACCTCTATTTATAAAATGTCCTACATTTCAAGGGAAGTAGCTCTAAATGGCTTTATTGTTTATTTTCACTGAGAAAAAAATACTTTCAGAGCAGAAAAGGTTGGGTTTTTTGAGAATGAACAGGAAAATGGAAACGTTCTGATCAAGTTGTGTTATACTGCAGGCCACTGAAGAAAAAAGGATGCCAGTGAAATTCTGATTCACACTCAGTTCAACTAATTTACAGCGTTCAGTCTTTTATCCTGTATGGACTATATTGGAGCTCAACTGCTAATGCAAACCTTATCTTGCCTCTCAGCTATGAAACTGTAATATGTGTGGACCTAAGCCTCTTATGGGAGATTTTAAATACTCTGGCTTTATAGGCAATCAAAAGAAGAATCTCCCAACGGCAGGAAAAGATTGACGAGCTATAGCTTTCAGCAGTGGGCAAAGCACAACTATCGTGTTTGGCATCCCCTGGCCTGGGGAACATAGATTACCACTGCGTGTCTCTGCAGGAGATTAAAAGGGGATGCTAAATAGCCAAATTCAGGGCTGAGCAGTTATTTTCAAGCTTGCAAAAGAGGCTGCAACAGACCTCGGTTTGTGTGACCAAGGCATTTGGCCTAGCACAGGATGATGACTCACACAACTTCAGAGATCAAAGCTAAACAGCTCCACATTTTGGTGTCTTGCTAAAAAAATCTGCACTTCTGTATGACCTGCTAACAAAATTCAAGCCTCACGGCCTCTGGAAGGCAGCTCAACTCGAACCTTTAGCATTTCCTCTTGACAATCTGCCTTTGGCAGCAGGGAAGCCAAAATCACTAACCATGAAGAAATCTCATCTTCCTCTGCAGTATGTGTACCTACTGAATTACATTTTGGATTGCCACTACCTACAAATCTTTCAAAAAGCCACAGTCATTTCTTAAACACTTAGGATGGTCTTTCCTCATAATATTTTATTCAAACTGCTCATTACTTGAAACTATTTATTATGAATTTCTACATATAAATATATTTACAATGTCCAAGCTGACAAAAATGGCCAAATTTTCTTTTGTTGATTGAGTGTAACCAAGAGACGTGGACTTGTAGCACAGATGAAAGGAAAAATATTACCCTTTTAATATATAATATATACATACCCACACAAATATAAATGTATAATTATGTAATATTATATTAATATGTAATATAAATTCATATAAACACTGAAGAAAAAGGATTTTGCAGGAGCTAATACCTACAGACATGCTGAAGCCAACAGAAATTGTGTGCAGACCTCCTGCATGGTTTTATCAAAAGGATAAGCACTTCTTTCCTGAGTTATTCATTATTAACTTTTTCCAGACTGGACTCTAAACTATTTTGTGCAGAAAATCTGGATGGAAAACCATGAGATACTTGAAATGCCCCTTTAATCTGTAAAAACTGTCTTGATCTACGAAGATGGAGATTGGAAAAAATGGGGATGTAACACTTCTGAGCTGTGGGGAAATGCTGGTTGACTGCTAGCTACACTGTTATCCAGTTTTGCTCTTCCTTGGATTTTGAATTACATAATCTTTTTGATCCTTTCTCTTTGCCGCTGCATACAATAAATGGTCTTTCCTACTCAGAGACTAACTATTGAAGACAGCTCCTAGAGCACGGAATGTTCTGAAACACAACAAACAGGACAATCCCGCTAATGAGAATAAAAATCCTTAATGCTCATGGCTGTATCATGAATACAAATAAGCACTTCTTTAGCACTTAAGAAATGACAGCACCATGTGTGATGCCCACGATTCCTGGCGAAGATCACCCCTCCTCACCCGACTGGCCCTTGAATAAAGCCCTTGAAGTCACATTATTCTACAGCTGTTGTTTTATCCTCTGTTACATTCTGCAATTGGAACTTAGCAAGAATACTCTTTGAAAATGCACAAACTTACTTTTCTGGGGTAGACCTTTGCCTCATGCGATGAGGGGGTACTGGAGGTGGCACGTGGGGTGGCAAAGGGGATGAGACCTTAAAGGCATCGGAGCCGCTGTCAGAAGCGCTTTTGGACAGCGGTCTGTACGTCTGTGTCTTTGCAGCTGGGTGTGCCTGAGCAGAGAAGGATGGACTGTAGCTACCTAATACAAAACAAAACCAGAAATAGTCACAGCCTGAGAGTAAGTCTTAAAAATTAACACAACATGGAATGCCACGAGAAGCCACAGTAACGCAATAAAACTGCAAGGTTACAAAAATGTGTAAATGCACATTTAAAAGTACATTGCTGTGTATTATGCAGCTCATAAGAAAACATCATATATTTTTGCATAAAATTACAAACACATAGATAAAGTACAGTATATTTAAAATAAATTCATTATTATTTTGATGGAGGAGAAGTTAATGCATACATAATTCATCACAGCTGTTAATGACAGCCTGTAATTAATTTTCAGGCTCATCCTATTGCTCAGTTGTTCTGTGTTAAGAAGACAAAGGCAGGAAACACACCTTTTTCATTGTTTTATTAATTAGTTAATGTGTGATGATGAGGCAACAGCATATCTTGAAGAGGATCACATGAGTACAAAGAGATGTCAAACCACTGACCCACAACAAATCCTCTCAACAGCACAGAGAAAGGCACTATTGAGAGCACGTCTAATGCAACAAAAACTGAAATGGAAAAATTTTTAACGGCATTTTTGCAGAAGGCACTATGACTTTTTTGCACATAGTCTACTCACACTTTCATTTTTGGTTTTTATTGTAAATAATGTTACCAAATGGGTATAATTGTCCTAAAGACAAAATGATTACGTATCTTAGATGAATGTCTTTTCTTGCAGCTAAATAACATCACCAGCAGTGCCTATAGCAAAAATGGACAAGGTTGTAAAACAGTCAGTTTTATTACGCACTCTTCAGGGTGTTTTTAAGGTGTTTTCAGTACACACTTTTTGTCTTTCCAAGTCAATAATTGGTATTTTCATTTCCATAAGGAAAGGCTGCATTACTCACAAACACTAGTGAAAATAATTGCAATGTAATCAAGAAACTACAGCGCTACAGTGTATTCCCTCTGCAGTTAAGAGGTCCACAGCCCCAAGTCATTTATGTAGTAAGAATGAAACTAAAATGAAACTCTTTTGGGGGAAAAATGCATGAACAACTCAGATCAAACAAGACAATGGAAGTGTCTCTACAAGCATCACAAAAGCGAGCGTGAAGAGTTAACTACCCCATCACTTGCTGACATTAACAAAAGCGTCACTTTGAACAGGGAATAATTCCTACCAGTACTGTATGCATATGCAGTATTATACAAGTCTGTGTCGTCATCTACAAAAAGAAATACATGTGTTATGGTAGTGCCATACATGCCAGTTCATTACAGAAATTCAGCTTTGTTTTTGAAAATACATACAGAAGATTGGTAGGCAATCAAGCACTGTATTTCTTTTCCTCATCTCATAGGTGCTTCTGGAAGACTCTGTCTTCCCATTATACTTACCATAGGTTGTTTTTGCCATCTTATTGTTAAAATGGTATCTGCTGTTCAAGTCATTCATGCTATGTACTTACTAAGTTAGCACCAAATTACAAATTAATTTTGGCCTGCTTTTTCCCCTTCCACAAGCTAAATTTCCTCCTTTTGTCAGCTTTCCTCTGCTACAGACTGCTAAGCTGTTGTTCCTATCACAAAAGGCAATGCTAAATATCTATGACGTGACTGGTTTTCAAAATAAATCTTGTAAGCCAACATTCTCCTGCTACATTTCATTCTCCCACTAACATTCTGTGTGACCATACTGAATGTCAGCTCTACCTCAGATAGATAAAGTCTCCTTCCTTCTGGAGGTGTAATGAGCGTAACTGCCATTTATACCATGTTCCCTGACAACCTTGCTGATAATCATAAAGGACTAAAAAGCTGGCAGTGTCATCAAAGCTCCATTTCAGCAAAATCAAGGAAGATATTCTATGAAAACAATTCATTTCAGGCACAAGATCTATTCTTAAACCAGACTGTACTAGCCCATGCTGTTCTAACACTTAATTTTCCAAAAGAAAGGCAGAACAGATGGTAGGAGACCTACAGAAGACTATTTCTCATCCCTCAAACTGGTCATGAGGAGACAGAAACATACTCACCAGGCTTATGAACCATATGGATTTGCTTGAACATGGTCTTGTACCAATCCTTTGGCCTGTCAACTGTCTAAAGAAAATAGAGTTTTACCAATTAACAACAAAATAAAAATACCTGTGTGTACAGATCGGATCAAACATTTAATACTACTCTGGACAGAAAGTCTATTATATTTTATTGCCTATTTAATATAAACATTTTAATGTATTTTGAGTTTATTTGTGCATTTCATCAAGGAATTCCTGTAACAAATTCTGGAAGACATTAAGGATTGAGTCAGTCTTGGACTCTAATCTTGTGAGGGTACAACGGTTCAGAACACAGGAATTAGTGCCGGATCAACAGTTTATCATCTTAGTGCCCTACATCTGACAATGATAAATGCTAGATTCTTTACAGGAAAATAGAAACACCTCAGCAGTTATGATTATAAGCATGCAAGAAGAGCCTCTTTTGACCTCCTAGCAATTTCCAGCTTAAATTACTTTCAAAATGTAATTGTTCAATAATGCAGAAAAGCTTTGAAATACTACTGAGAAAAGAACTAAGGCTACACAATATTTCAGAGTTAATGTTTGGATTTAAAACAAAAAGCATTCCTTTTACTAGTTTTAAATGCCATTTCCAGACAACCTAGTTTTAACTTATTTTTCTGTTTTGAGAAAAAGTGAGTACAATATACCTTTCAGTATCACTCATTAAATGATACTTATCCTTACATTTGCAAACTAAGTAGTCCCAAGGTTCCCAAACTCTGCTCATATCAACATCTACTTGTGCTTCTTTTTATCTCTAACCCTTGTGCATTTTTTCTTTTGCTTCAATTTTCTTTGAGGTAGGATGATAACATATCAAAAAAGGATTAACACTGAAAACCTGTTTTCCAAATTATTCTAAGGTGCTTAAGCTTTACTTGCCCCACAGCAGTCAGAAAAGCAGAAGTTTTAATGCGGAGAATTGTAGAATGCCCTGGGTTGAAAGGGACCTCAAAGATCATCAAGTTCTAACATTCCTCCCATGGACAGGGACAACTTTCACTAGGCCAGGTTTCTCAGAGCTCCATCCAATGTGGCCTTGAGCACCTCCAGGAATGGGGCATCCACAGCTTCCCAGGGCAACCAAAAAAGTTATCTTCAAACCTCATGGTATACTGGGATAATTCAAAGGACCCCTCTTGAAGTGCATTATCTTGACTAGCTAATATTAAACTTGCAATCACTTTGCTCACTCCTCTTTACCACAGAAAGTGATAAAATTCTTCCCTACAGAAGACTGGACAGATCTGAGTGTGTTCACTGCCATCTTTGCTAAATCACACTTTTGCCATGATTACTCATTACAGCTTCTGTACATAATGAGTATCTTTTGTTCACAATGGTGAGCTCTTACTCAAATAAGGGACTAGGCAGAAATGTTCCTGTATTTTGAGGACTCCATATGAGTTCTCATAGAACTGCTATTAAATGATATTAGAACAATGTTTAAAAGAAGAGCTGACAGTAAACTGAAGAACTTGGGGATCTCCTGGGTAAGCAAAAAAATTAGGCAAAGAGTTATGCTTTTTTACCTAGACCTGCTTGCAAGATAGAGATAAAGCAGGTTCAGTTTTGTCCCAAGATAGGTCCCTTCCCCCATCAACCAATACTGCTGAATTCTGCCAAGAGAAGCAGATTTGGATAATTTTAACACTGTTTCCCAGAAGATATTAAATAGCTAGACTAGCAGAACTCTGGTTAAAATAATTTAGCAGATTTGAAACAAGTATGCTGTTTGGTGCTCCAGGAACACACATGGTCAAAAGTTTATAAGGAAGCCCACAAGGTCTGAAGGAATTCATTCTGATGGGCATAACCACCCTGCTCCTCCTCATTTCCCACACCAACAGAAACCACATGAGTTTCAGTCCCATGATATTGCAAATGCCTTTCCAGTCGTATCAAGCCAAAAAAGTCTCAAGTGGTAGATGAACAAATTGCAAATAATGCATAAATACCCCTGCTATGTCCCTACTGTTTGTCAAGCATTGCCAGGTCCTCCACAAAGTCACAGGAGATTCCCAGATAGGGATCAGGTATGGAGAAGCTTCCACGTGACTAGAGAAGAAGGTGTCCCAAAATCTTTTTGGATATTTGAATGCTTCTTTCTCTCCTCATCTCCCTAACCCCTCATAGGGGTTTCAGGCCTGAGCCAATAATTTGGCTTTAAGTTATAAACCAGATAGGATTAGCTAAGAAATAGAATACATTAGTTTTGAAATACATTTTCTCAATTTATATTCACTAATCCCACACACCAGCACTGTTTGAGGAATTAACAGTATTCACAATGCACCAAGCCATTCAGATGCCAATACTACTTTGTATGCATTACAGCTGATGCAATTAAATGTTGGAACATGGTGTCATCATATGAGAAAAAACAATCAGCCAAATAGCATGAAGAGGACAAAAGAAGTAACTGCAATTGCTCTTTAGGAGAGCCCATAATCACTGCAGTACTGTAATCATCCATCAGGAAGAATGCAATTAAAGGAGGCCTCTGTGACCCTGAGATTAGCTCACTTGGTGGGAGCAGGGTGCTCATAATGCTTGGATGCCTGTACGGACCATTCACTTAAAAGATGGACTTGATGATCCCTGTGGGTCCCTTCCACCTCAGAATGTTCTGTGATTCTGTGACTTCCAGTGGAACTCTGTTTTTTCTGTTTATTTTTTTTTTCAAGCTTAAATATTACATTGCTAAGTATGGAAAACAAATGTAGTAGGACTTGGTTTGTTTTTTTTTCATTCTTACTAAGTAGAGGCCTTTTCAGTCTACAGATTAATTCTGATAATAAGATATAGGGCAATAATTTTGTATAGACTAAAACAGTGCAATCTTACTGCTTTCCATGAATCTTTTTACCTTTCCCAGGTCCCTGTCAGTGGTGAATGGTGCTGCATTTGACTGAATGCTTTTCTGAGCGAGCAGCATTTTACCCTCTCTTTTTCAGAGACTTCATTTTTAGTGTCTTGGAATTTTACCATCTTTTGGGCAGGGCTTGGCACAAAGGCAGAACTTAACAATGATCTGAATTTTCAGACTTGCATTTCCCAGAGCTAGAAGGAGCTGAAGTAGCATAGAAGGAACATACTAATATGGGATGATGGTTCTGTGTAGATTGAAATCTTTATAGGAGCCCTTTCCTTCTCAGAAGCCTGGGACAGAATGGATTAGCAGGAATAGAAAGAACATCATTCTGTTTTCCTGGGCTACAGAGGTGTCGCAAACCATGTTCTGATAGTAAAGACAGACTTGGAGGAGACAACCACATCTTGCACAACCTCTCTACTCCTGAAAAGCACTCAAAATCTGGAACACAGATAGTCCTGAGTTCTTACTGACAACCTTAACTTTGAGCAGAACAACATTTTGGAGCACAGTGTGCATGTTACCTACAACCTACGAATCTTAATTTACTGCTTGACTGTTGCCATTTTCACAAAGATAGAAAAATAGGAAACTTTTAAACTTTACATGCAATGACAAATTGAAGCTCTCTTCAGACGGACTGAGGCTGAACTTTCAGGGAGAAGATTCCTATTTGGATTGCTCATTGACCTTGGGGAAAGGGCAGCTGATATACCCTACCTTCTACTATTAAGGGAAAATGCAGTTTTAGCACTTTTGCAAGGTGCAGCACATTTGAATCATTGCTGACAACTATACCAGCTTTGTTCTTGCACAGCTGGGCTACACAGGGCTCAAATATACTTGTGCACACTTATAAAGTAATTTCAAATCAGGATCTTGAAGACAATTTTACTATCAGCTATGTCTTAAGGAAGCAGAATAAAGACACAAAATGACACGTCAGGCACACTCGCACAGATACACACTGGCATAAACTTTTAACTTATATCTCATTGTGAGAATTATTTCTACAGTACTAAGCTCACAGGCTATAAGACTTCTTCACATTGAAACAACAAAAACCAGAGCAAAACCCGCACAAAAATGTCCTAATTCAAACTGCATTATGTTTTTAGGAGAAAATCTGTGAGACTCATCTCATACAACCCGAAAGTTAAATATAGTTTGGCAGACTGCCAGCTTCATTAGGCACACTTAAGAGGGATTTCTGCTATAATCTTATGTAACTGATATGCACCCTATTAGAACAATCTGCTACTAAAAATGCACAAAACCAATTACTATATCCAATATAAAACATAGGGACTATTTATTTAAAAAGAGGGCAAGAAGCTAGAGGATTGTTGTGAAAAAATTTCTTCATTTTTAAGAGATTCTGATTATATTACTTTTTTATGTCCAAAATAAAGCAAGAAATGCCAGAGTTTCCCCCCATCCTTACAAAAATTGTCCCCATCTTACCACTCATTCTGATTTTTTCCTATTGATTTTCTCCATCAATTCACGACTTCCCCCCTAATTTTCAATCCATTGAAGCAGTTCTTGGCAATACAACACAGCCCCATATGTCAGTACTGGCAGACAGGACACATCCAACAGCTGCTACACCCCTGCACCTCACTAAGACTTCACCTGCAAGGGCTCTGCCGCTTTCATCCTGGCTCCCACTCTTCTCACTTTCTCCGTCCAGCACAGCAGTTCTTCTCTGGCTGGGAAGGCCAGCAAGTGCTGCCTTCACAGACCCAGTGCAGCTGCCACTGTGCTCTCTGGAGCAGCCAGAAGAGGCTGCCCTGACAGCAGAGTGGAAAGAATGCTTCAGCATAGTGAAAACAAAACTCTTCAGTTTGACATCCTGGGACCACTCAAGCAGTGACCAGCGGCAGATGATCAAAACTGGGCTGGTCACAATGAAAGGGCTCCCAAGCTGTTCGTTCATGTGTCACTCAAGGGCACAGTGATTATTTACTGCACTGGCACAAAAATGATACTCCCTTAGATCGCTGTCAGAACAGAACTATGCATTTCTACGCCACCCTGATGACATGCAAACCATGACCCCAAAAATGCAAAAGCATGACATTTTTATGTACACACACACACGCACACACGCACATGTATATACGAATATTTGCACACTCACATACATATGTACATAATATGCATAAACTTTATTTTGGAAATAAACCAAACGCAATCACCGTGCATCTCCAAAAGGCAAGAAGTACAAGAGACACAAGAAAGACACAAAGTTTTGGCTACTTCTAATTAAAGCTAGAAACATGAGGTTGCCCAATTATGCTCCCATCAGCATTCTCCTTTTCGTCAAAACACAATATTATATTCACGAGGTCGCTGATTACGCACACTGTATTCCACATTATATAAGAGTAGAAGAATGTGAAAAACCCATTAACAACAATCAGTTCATTGTTTGAGTTCATACACAGATTTCCCAGAATTTCCTACCGTTCTAATTGCTGTAGGGATTCCAGATTCATCTACCGGGCCAATCCCTGCATAATGTGGAGCTTTAATTACTGTAATTTTTTTTTCTTCTTCTGAGGATCTACAGATTGGTATTGTACTGGTGGTGGTGGTGCTGCCAACATTCTGAACATGCTGTGAGTATGTCTCTGTGGACTCTGTAAAGATAACATGACAGAATATTGTGTAATGACACAACAACCATACTTGGCAGTTAAAATACACTTCCCCATTTCACTATTCCATACAAAAACTGACAACCTTAATCACATATATATTCTTTTAAAAAAACCAAACATCTTAGTTAGGGCTTTACTCTACTCAGTGTTACATTAACAGAATTATGAACTTATTTATGGACCAGACATGCCATTAAACTCAGAACTTTAACTACAGTAGTACTACTTTTTCACAACAACTTGCCCACAAAAAGAGGACAAAAACCCACAAACAAAGCAAAAGCTATTCAGAAAGGTGCAGCAGCCTTTCTCCTATAAATCAAATTCTTGCACCTTTTTCCCCATTCCTTGGAAACTAGTGACTAATTTCAAAACTTCCACCCTCCAAGTCTAGCAAACAATAGAAAATTGCTCTGTAATTGTTCTGTAAGCACAGCAAACAGCCTTGCACAAAAACTTATGTGATATGTGCTTAGAAATAAGAAGTTTAGACACATGAATATTTTTAACAAGCAAATTCTGACACAGAATGCTCTTCCCTTACAGTATGTTGGTGTTTATGTGACTCTACATATAATCCATAAAAGTGGTCTTCAATACCTTGGCATGTGTAGAGCACTCTGATGATTCATCTACAGTAATTCAGGAGAACTGTGCAGGCTCCTACTGGTTTGTAGTGATTTGGAGTATTTCTACCCTTCTGCCTCAAATCTTCCTTTATAATTAGTGAAATGTATATATCATTTTTACCATTTCACCTTAAAATGCAGAGTACTTTACAAAAACCACCTTAGTGCTGGGAGGTGACATGAAAATTTGTACTTCTGCAGACAATACTCTTTCGTGCACACAGGGAAAAGAGCCCTGCTCCTTCAGGCAGCAGGTTTCAGCAGATTAGTGGGCTGCTGTGACAAAGCCTCTGTTTTGCAAGTGCAGGCACAGTGAGACGTTTCCACTGCAGGATAAATGACTGCAGGGAGTAAAAATGTGTGTTCTAACACTAATGGTGACAACTATAATTGACTTTCACGTGACATTAACATTCACTGATTATCCTGAAGAAAAATATATGAATTGTAAGATGAGTCTGCAAAAGGAGCTCTGGTGACTGAAAGCTCTGATTTTAATTTGAATATTTCTGCTCACTCCTACTGCAGCGCTGGATTTGGCATGGCTATTTCAGCTGTTTACTTGAGTCTGAAATCCTGTAAATAATTCAGTACTACACATATATGGCGAGGGGCAGCTCTGTGTGGCAAACATCTGAATATTTGGAACTTTTTCCCAAAATGCATGATGTTAAATTTAGAAAACATTTTGGATTTGATCCTTCATTCTTCATAGGCCTCAAACTGAGGCCATCGGGGGGATTTTTACACGAGCAAAGAGAATTAAATCAGGCTATTACTGTGGAACACTGAACTTCAGCATCATAAAAGAGTGAAAATTGTGGGAAAATACGTAGGTTAGGTATATCCAAAACTAGTATTGATAGGCCTTTACATCAGCAAACCGGGAGTAATAAAAAAATCTAGAATTCTAGGATGTGGAGAAACCCATGCATACAGTTTTTGTACTTATCCCTATGATGACAGCTGCATTTGTCTAAGATGTTAAGTCTCAGAGCGAGAACCGTCACCTAATTTCCCTCCAAGCACAACAAAAATGTAAACTCTGGGATCACATTCAAGTTATTTTCCATGTATAACCTTATCTGAATATGCAAAACACTGGTAGAAAAAGCAGCAAGCAAATTATTCTCTTGGCAAAACAGGATTCTACTGGCAAAGAGCCTTTCTAAGGCTGATAATACTTGGTTTGTGTTTAATTTTTAAATTAAAGATGCCCTAAAAAAACCCACAATGAATAAATTTTAGATTGATGTGGCTTTAGGAATTTAAAAGCCCAGAGCCCTCCCTTTGTTGACAGTATTTTTGCTGAAGAATTATGCAAATTGTGGGGAGGACCAAAGTACAAAGTTGGCCCTTGGTTTCTTAAAGCAAAATCTGAAGGGGCTGCCCAGGTTGAGCTATTTTGACAGATGTCCTTTCCTTGGTAAGGCTCGTAGAAAACTAGCAAAAGGTTAACTCACACACCTAAGTAATAAAACATAACAGCAACTCCAAATAAGGATCATTACTGTCCCTAATAATAAATGATTTTGTTTTTTTTGCATTTACTTCCCAAGGTAGATGAATAGACAATACCTTCATTGTGGATGTGAGGAACTCTTACAATTGTTTGCAGTCTTTACCACATGAATCAAAATATGCCATGTAACGTATAAAGCAAACATTTTGTGTGAGGCTTACCCATCATCCTGCCATGCTGCATGATAGCAATGTTGGAATTGAGCAAAGGTGGTGCAGGGTAAGCTGAAGAAGGGGAAAAAGGCCTTTGAAAGTGACTCACTGGGCTGGCAGCAGTGCCAGAATTCCCATTCACTGTGATCTGAGCCTGAGAGAGACAAAACAATATCCCATTAAATTACACACAAAGGTCTCCGAGCGCCATCCCGAAGAAAGAGTGATGCAAGACTGTCATCCACGCAACAATTACCAGTTGTCAGGTACCCAGCCACAGTGGCATCTGCATTCACTGAAACACAAAACTTAGCACAAAGGGAGCAGAATGAGTTCTTATATACCTCGTACCTCCCCTCTTCTCTCCTTGTGTGTGCTGTCTGTGATGCACGCTGCCATGGGAAGGTGACAGAAAGATCACGGTCAAGGCAATGAAGATGGCAAAAATAAGGTTTGCAGATGCCTGACAGCAATAGAAGATGAAGATGGCAGTGAAATTCCTGCTACTGTGTGATAAAGGCTGTCTGCCACAAATCCCTCACACCAGGAGACATATTCCCTTAGAATACATGCTCAAGTACTACTGATATTAATGGGAATTTCTGCAAAGACTGAAGGGAAAAGTCCCATTAGACTAGCTAAAAAGAGTGAGCAATGATTTCTGAAAAAAATGTGAGCCAGCTGGAGTGACTGATACATAATCTGTCACAATAAAAATATATAGCACTAATTAAAAAACCCCACAACTACAAAATGACAGAACAAAATCAAAAATGGGAGAGCTAAGCAAACTGGCAATCAAGCAGCAAGCATCTAAAGCCATTGAGGCTTTAGTCAGTAGAGGTACTTCACAAGAGGAAATGATCTACCCCCAGGTTTGGCATCCCTGCATCTGGGCTGTATCACATTCATGGGGAGAACTGAAAGAATCAAAACTGAGATACTGAGTAAGCATTGAATGAAATAAGAGGGTAGTGAATATTTCAGCAGAAAAGGGAAGGAACTCTCTGCAACATCTCCTTTAATGCAGAACTCTTCTTCAAATCTGAATCAGAACTACAACTTTGCTCAATTTTATATAACAAAATGAATTAAAACATGCTGCAAATGTGAACGAGACTAGGTAAGCGGCAAAGGATAAATAAAACCATAAAATGCATATTATTTTTACAAATAAAAAATAAATTATTCATGACCCTCTGTAAACAATTGTCATTTGGAGATTACTGATTTGATTTGAAATTTTTAACATCGTGGCGTCCCATAGCTAAGAGAGAAAAACAAGTTCTGGGCCCTATGCAGACATCATGTGAACTCCTAGATGCATTCAAGGGCTTCTCATTTCAAGGATGCCTGTTTGCAGAAGTGAACTGAAAAGTTTCTGTTGCAGTGACATCTCCATTGAAAATTTTGTGTTTAGAAGTTTCCTCTCTTAGTAAAGTCTAGAATCAAAACTAAGTTGGTTTTTCTCACATAGCCTCTCCTCCAAAAAAAAAAAAAAAAACCCTAACAACTTGGGAGCTGTAAGAATATAAATACATAACTCAAAAGCAGCATTTCAAGAGCTATGAAGGCATGTTTAAGGTTTCAACATGAGGCCAGCCATCTCTCCTCCACTTCAGGTGTCCACCCATTCTCTTTTCCGACATATTGTCTTTTTGGGAAAGCTTGTGACCAGGGAAAGCAGGGTGCAACTATGTGCAGAGCCTTACACCTTCTTACTCATTTACTATGGCTTTTGTTGTTCTGAGCAGAACTGGTGTGAGTTCTTTCTAGACTGGAAAGTTAGTCCTATGAACTTCCGTAATAAAAAACTGAGATATTCCTGCAAACGACTTACCAAATAGCTCAGTTAGACAGTAAGGCACTTATACTAAGAAGTACATAATATCATAAAAAAAGGACTGACACAAGTAGTTGAAGGCCATCAGCCAGAAATGTGTGTGTGGCACATTCATATATAACATTTTTGGGTGTGCTTCTAAATGTATTAGAGAGGATCTCAGCTCAGCTATGATTTCTTAGTTTCTAATGATTTTCTCTTTGAGAAAAGTGTCTAAAGTTGGGTATTTCATTTGTTTCTCTGATACATCTTACACTGTTGACAGGGTTAGCTATAAAAGAAAGTTTTATAAAGTTTCAAAGGCTTTTCCTTCACATGGAATCATTTGGGACATTTCAATTTGAGAATGTGCCACTTTAGGTCCAGATGACAGTTTATTCCCAGATTTTAGAAGGAAGTGAAATAATTTAAGATGCCTATTTATGGATTAGACTTACGCTTTCCTGGATAGCCTTCTCTGAGGGAAAAGAAGACAATATGGAAAAAAAACCTATTTAACCAAAAAGCATATATTTTTCAATTTACTGGGAAAACAATCCTCATTTTACATGATGTTCTTTTCCCTAGAAACCTCTATTATTTTTTTTTCTTTAGTATACTTAACCTGTCCTTCACTGCAAGCAGCGCCACTTCCTCCTAGGTATCAGGTTTAAAATTCCTGTAATTTGCCTGAGCATCAGAGAGAGCAGCACTCTGGATTTCTGAATCAGAACAGAGGGAAGTATCCATCTGGGACTGGAGCTGCTTTGCTCTCTGCTGAGACGAGGAGAGACGTCCCATTAAGGGCATCTGAGCAGTTATGTGCAAGAATGCTCCAAGCACATGCCTGACCTCAAGACACTGAATTAGGCTAAAACACTCAGAGAATTGATTCTTTAAGCTCGTGACAGTCACAGAACTTGGGAAAAGGCAAAAATCTAATATGTACTTCCATTTCCAAGTTTCCATTAGATTCCATAATTTCAAACTACATAAACAAGAACCCACAAAAATTACTTTATAGGGAAAATGTTCATAATTGGAATAGAATCAGGAAAGAATTGTTTCCAAAAACAGCTGTTCTCTCATTTTAACTACAATTCTAAGCATAAGCCCAAATAAGAATTGCAAGTCTTATACTTCAGGTTTTCAAAGAATCTGTAATCTGTGACTAAAGGTCAAGAAAACTGATTGCACTTTTACCTTTTTTGCCTCAAATATTTGTCCATTTTCTTGTCTCAGATCTTCCTGCTGCTGCTGCTGCTTCTATAAGAGCTGCTTTAAAACTTTTTTTTGTCTAAAGCCTCATTAAGAAATTCAAGAATAAACAACTATCCTCAATGTGGACACAAAGTCTTTAAAATCATGGTTACAGGCACAGTGCTGGATGGCCCAATCCTATATTACTTTAATCACTCTCAGTGTTTTTCACCTACAAAATCAACAGCAATTTCTTTTGAGAATGAAGATCATTACAGGAGTAGAGCCAATGAAAACACATGTGTATGTGCCACCAGCTTCCCCATCGTTCTGTCATTTCATGGATGTATTTATGGCCTCCTGGCCCTCCTCTACAGAGAGTGGGAGATGAAGACTCTTCTACGCTGCAGAGCTGGGTTCTGCCAGCAGTTTAATTTCTGTGGGGCTATGTAGGACTGTAGGGGATTTCTACCCTTTGGTGGGAGTCTCTGTTTTCCTTTGTCCATTAATGGTGAACAAATGTTATGCTCATCCCTCCCTTGTCTGAAAGAGAAAGTGGTGGTCAGACCTGACTGTTACAGCCTTCTACTGGGAGACTAACCCAAAAAAGGAAAGAAGGACCAACTGTTCACTTTCCCTTGCAAAAAACGGTGCTCAAAGAAAACATATACAGTTAGCTGACTATTTTTAGTTTTAAGCTAGTTTTAAAACTCTAGTTTTAGAAGTAGGCTACAAGAAAATATAAATGTTCCATGCTTCCCATAGCTAGTAAATGGTTCTGTAGTGACTGTATCTGACCAATCTACATTGATTATGGTATCTTTGGCTATAACTATGGGTTGTATGCAGATTCAAAGCCATGATTCCTAAAAAACCAGAAAATGGTTTCAGAACTGTGTTACAGAAATTAAGAACTACAGCTATTAGTATTTTTTATTAGCAGCACCCAGAGCATTCACAACCCATCACTGGCTTTCCAGGTGACTATGTGCAATCTTGGGCACAAAATACTATTTGTAGAATATACACAAAACTTTGAAAATATGTATACTGTTTGTTCTTTTCAGGCCTAAAAATTACAATATGCTAAAGTATTTGTAAAAAGTTTGAACACTGCTGTGACCCAGTAAAACTTTGGATGCAGAACATCTCTCTGTTTTGCACTTCAGCAATGAATTGCTTAATTTAAATGAAGGCTTTGTTCTGACTAATTTTAATCATGTGGATAATCTCAAAAGAAATCAGAAGTGATCTGGGTTTGACCCAGATTCCATACCTTCTTTCTACCCATATATGAGTGCACTAAGTTACAGAAAAATGAATGTATATATAAAGTATCTAACTGCATACTGGTTTTTCCCTTGATTTGAACTAGAGAAATGTAGCAGGACACTTGGGTAATATGAGATTATTTTATGCAGTTCAGTCCTATAAGAAACTGTGCTTAGGAGAGGAAAAGGTTAGCTAGAGGAGAGAAAACCAGTTTTGCGCAGTCAGTGGTCAGGGCTGGGGAAAAAACTGCATTAAATACTGCCAACATTTACTATGAATTTACAAATTACATTATTGAAATCTGAATCTCAGCGTAAATAAAAAATTGTGGTAGTCCAGAGGCTACAAACTCCACAAACCTGTCAATTGTTAACAATATTTTAAACATATCTCTTCAAACTCTAAGGAATGCTTGCTTTTAATGCATTTGGAACAGGTATTTCTTGAATTTATTTTATTTTATTTTAAGCAAAGTGTTTGATACACCTTAGCTGACCACACAACTCTGCAACACTCTTGTTATCACCTCCTACTCCCAAATCTCCTATGTCAATGACTTTTTTTTTTTGAAACAACTGTTGCAAAACACTGACAGACTGCGACCATGGAAAAACACTAACAAAATTCTTGTCTGTGTGATGGGGTAACAGACAAGGTCCAAGTCTGCTCCCCTTTGACAACCTGTTTGAACAAAACGGAGGAGGAAAAAAGGAAGCATAATTACATGAGAAGTGGCAGCAGTGTTGGTTAAGGTGGTGCCATCTGACACAGCAGACATCTGGCTCAAGGTTGGGGAAGGTGTTTCAGAGCAGTCAGTGGTATCATAGCTACAAGTCTGCAGCTCATCTAGAATGGCTGTG